CCTCATGCGGCAGTGGCTACATGGTGGACAGCACGGGTCTAGGACCTCACAGGCTTACTCTGACCCCCTAGCAGCCCTTCAGACAACTGGCTTATTACATCTTCTCCAGAGTTCACCTTTCCAGCTTTGCTTCACTGACTAGGGATAGAACTCTGGGCTGGACAAGTCACCTTACCCTTGGAAGTATAAACTAAGGGTAATAAAAATACTTACTTCTGGGGTTGTAGCAAGGATTCAGTGGGATACATACGCAAAGTGCTTAGCACAGGTGCCTGGCAAGAAATAAATGCTCCATAAATGGCGAACTAATGAATCAAAACCTTGGGCCATCTTTCGGCATGGTGATGGTTAATTTTCTGTGTCAAGTTGGCCAGGCTATGGCACCCTGTCATCTAGTCAAACGCCAGTCTAGATGTGAAGATAGTGTTCGGATGTGATAAACATTTAAATCAGCAGACTTTGAGTAAAGGATTGTTCTCTTAAAATGTGTGTGGGCCACATCCAATCAGTTGAAGATCTTAAGAGCAAAGACTGAGGTTTCCCAAAGAAGAGGCTATTCAGCCATCAGAATGCAACATAGCAACTCTGCTGTTTCCAACCTGTAGATTTCAGACTTAAGACTGCAACATAGGCCAGGTACAGTGGTTCACGCCTGTAATCCCAGCACTTTGGGAGGCTGTGGAGGGTGGATCGTCTGAGGTCAGGAGTTTGAGACCAACCAGGCCAATGTGGTGAAACCCCATCTCTACTAAAAATGCAAAAATTAGCTAAGTGTAGTGGCAGGCACCTGTAATGTCAGCTACTCAGGAGGCTGAGGTAGAAGAATCTTTTGAACCTGGGAGACAGAGGTTGCAGTGAGCCGAGATCGCACCACTACGCTCCAGCCTGGGCAACAGAGCAAGTCTCCATCTCAAATTTAAAAAAAAAAAAAAAAAGACCACGACATTAATTCTTCCCTCATTTCTGACTGGCCAGATCTACAAATTTCAGAATTGCCAGCCCCACAATCATACAAGCTAATTTCTTAAAATAAACCTCTCTCTCTGCATGTATAAATGTCCTCCAAGGGGATGCAGTGCACAGAACACACATGACGTCCTCGTTCCAAACTCACGCAGCATTGGAACAACGGAACACCCCAGCCCTTCCCTCCCTCCAAGTGCCGTCTCTCAGGATTGAGAGCTGAGGCAGAGGTTGAATCAACGCCCCCATCCAGAGACTGCTCTCAAGGGAATGGGACCAAAGGGTGGGCTTTGTCAGGGGAAAGGGAATATGAGGTTGCCAGGTAGGGCCAGGGTTATGGGGATGTGCTCTTGAGCGTGTGCCTGCAGGTCCCCAGAGTGCAGAGTCAGGGGTTGGCAAGGTCCCTAAGCACAGAAGGGTTGCTTTGGGGATCCATGGCCCAGACCCCGACCCCCTCCTTTCTCTGGTCTCCTGCCAGAATTCCTGTTGAATTTGGCTGCCCACAGCAGCCAGAGTGATTCTCCTAAAGCACACATCGTGCCATTGACACCTTCCAAAGTCCTTCCCAGGCTTCCCCATGACCCCATAAAAATAAAGCCCAAAAGCCTTGTCCACAACTCACAAGGCTCTGTGTGACCTGGCCACAGCCAGCCCAGCCTCTCACATTGTAGAAGCGTTGAAGTATGTTCTAAAACAGCATGTAGTCAGAAGCCCCTGTTTACGAAAATTTCAAATAACTATATATGCATAGAAAATAACTACTGTCTACTGGAGCCTGGGTCTGTGCCAGGCCACGATGTGCAGAGTCGTTTACTGGGTATCACCTTGTTCCTTAAAACAATTCCTAGTATCTCCTTTACAGAAGAAACAGGCCCAGAGAGGCCCGCAGCTAGTGAGGGGCAGAGCCAGACTTGACCCCAGGTCCACCAAGACCAAAGGCCACGATCTTCACTGCCAGGGTGGTTGGTGTCTCTGTGCAAATTGAAGATAATAATAGCTCCCACCTCACAGGGTTGTCTCGAGGATTAAATGGGCTGAGATGTGTGAAGCTCTCAGAACGGCTCCTGGCACGGCACAGGGCTCAGGAAATGTCCTCACCCACAGCAGCGTCGATCCACCTCTGGGCAGCCCAGCCAGATCATATGCACATAGATTCCGACTGATCTCTGGAACTAGGGTCACAGGTGATTGTATTTTTTTTAGCTTTTCCACAATGATCAGGTAATACTGTTGCATTTCTTTTTTCTTTTTAAATTCTTGCATGTACGGTGCCCTTGGTGAGTTCTTGGTTTCCTCAAAGCAGGCCTGCCGATGTTTGAGTGGTCTCCCAGGTTCCCCCAAGGCCTGGCACAGAGACCCCCATGCCCAGTAAAGGAACCGAACAGAAAACTGCTCAAAAGGGCCCCTCCCAGCCCAGGCACTCTGCCCGCAGGCTTGGCAGGGGCGGGTGTTGGAGGGGTGGATGTGGGTGAGTGCCAGGAACTGGCCTGACCTAAGTCCCCAAAAGGCCCCGTGAGATGCTCTGTGGCTCTTCTGGACCCCAGGGGAGCAGCGGGAGCAGCCGTGATGCATGAGACCTCCGGCCCTGAATCCACCAACAGCTGTGACCACTTCAGCTATTTTAAACCTCTGGGCGCCAGGAAACTCCTGGCCCATCAACCAGGCTCTGGGTCCAACATGATGGCCTGAGCCAGGGCAGGAGCCCTGAGGGTGGGTGGCCAGGTCTCAGCTGGGTTTTTGAGCAGAGGGGGCTTCATTTCTTCAGCCTTGTGCCCGGCTCTGTGCCAGTGTTTCCCACATCTTATTGTCTCATTTGATACCATCCTTACACTGTGCTGGGGAATCAGTTATTTCAGAGGCAGAAAATGGGAATCTGAATGGCAAGGCACATGGGCTTGAGGCTGTACCAAAGCAGAGTGCAGCTCCCTCATCTACAAAGCACAGACAGCTTTCCGCTCCTGCCCTCACCCAGCCTTGCCCTTGCTTCCCCAGTGGCCCTGCAAGTTCCTCCTTCTGCTACTCTTAGGAGCTTTGCAACCCGGAGTCAATCCCCCCACCTCCTCAGAGCTCACTGTCTTCATCTGTATAGCGGCGGAATTACTGAGAGGGTTCAGTGATCTAACTCTAATACACGAAAAGTGCTGCTTGGAACAGGGCCTGACCCACAGAAAGAACGCAGCAAGTGCCCGACCTTATTCCTGCTTCCCTGGGCATCACGGCCCCATGTTATCACTACCCTGCCCAACATCCCGTCATGAGCTGCCCCCGGCCTCTGTCATCGTGGGGCACAGTGTCCTCCCCAACTCTGGCCCAGTCTCCCCATGGGTGAAATGAAAGGTAGACCCCAGGAAAGTGAGAACCCCAGTGGGTGCCCATTATCTGCCACACAGTAAGGGCTCCAAAGTGACTCAGGGCAGAAGGGTGCCCAGACACGAGCCCACCTCTGGGGGCATCTCGAAGTCTTTCCAAACCACACATTTTGTCCCAGTTTGGCAGGTGACCACCCAAGAGATTCCTCCTGATGGAAGATGTGCTCAGCCAGGTGCCAGGAGCCCATCAGAAGTTGCTGGCCTCTGCTGGGCATGGTGGCTCACTCCTATAATCCCAGCACTTTGGGAGGCCAAAGCGGGTGGATCATCTGAGGTCAGGAGTTCAAAACCAGCCTAGTCAACATGTTGAAACCCTATCTGTACTAAAAATACAAAATGAGCCAGATATGGTGGCGCATGCCTGTAATCCCAGCTACTAGGGAGGCTGAGGCAGGAGAATTGCCTGAACCCAGGAGGTGGAGGTTACGGTGAGCCGAGGTCGCGTCATTGCACTCCAGCCGGGGTAACAAGAGCGAAACTCCATCTCAAAAAAAAAAAAAAAAACACTTGGGCCTTCCCTCTTCTCCACCCACATTCCTCCCAAATCCCCGCCACTCAGAAGCAGCTGGGCTCTTCACCACCTCCTAATTTGGGCCTTGTTGGGGAGAAGGTCGGAGTCCAGGGGCTGGGTATGTCAGCACTGGGCACTCATGGGCCTCACTCTTCTTGTCCGGGGTCACCCCTTCTTGCAGGTTCATCTTCCATCAGCTCTAACTCCTTCCCAAACACGCATCCCCTCCACCCCACTCCTTCCCTTCCACGGTCTCTGCCACCCACCCTCAGTTTTTGTCCTCACCTACCAAAGATCACAGGGGTGACATATGTGTCTGAACAGCACTTGGCTTGGGTCAGAGGGGAAGGGCTGGGATGCAGGTGGGGCTGGCTCAGGCCCACACTGATTGTCACCCTGCACCTGTCGCTCTGTGTAGCACTCCTCTTCCCTTGGTGGCCCAGGCCAGAACTGGGGTCCTAATCCTTGCCCCTCCCCTCTCCCTCAACCCACATATCCTGTCAGTCACCAGGTGCCATTGAACTCCCAGCCCATAAGCAGTGGCCGGATCAATTCCCGCTCCTCCAGCCCTAGCCACAGCCAGGGCCTTCCTTTCTCCTCCCCAGCCCAGCCTCCTGTCCAGGGGCAGTGGGGGCAGCCAGAGCGAACCATTTCACAGCACACCCGATCACGACTCGCTGAGGCAGCCACTCCAAGGTCCCACCTCCTACCCTCCAATGACTTGGCTTGGCGTCCTGGTTCCTTCAGCTGCCGGGTTCCCCACCCCCACCCCCACCGCTGCTTCCCATTTTCCCTATGGTGAGATCCATCTGACGTGGGGGGTGAGGGTATCGGGCTGCATCCGGCTTTACACAGGCGGCTCCCTCTCCTCGCCTTTAGTTTGCTAACGCCTCCTTCAAGAAGGCTCGGGCATCTTCTCTGAAAAGGCTTCCAGGACCCTAGGCTGGGTTAGGGCACTCTCTTTGTGCTCCCACATTGGCATTTTCTGCCCCACTTGGCTGGAGCGTCAGGAGGGGAGTCAGGGCCCTGCGTCCTGGCGCCCAACACCTGGGCGCCCACCTTAGGTTTGTTGAACGAATGAATGAGCAAACCAACCACGGAAAGCACCAAACTGGCTTTGACGACTTCACCGCGACAGCAGGGGGGCGGGACGAGTTGGGGGCAGGACCACACTTGACGAACAGGCCCACAGCCCACTGCGAGAGGACTGAGGCGGGCCGCCACGCCCACTCCCCGCCCACCAGCTCACGGATAAGGCCGCGCGCGGGGCTGTGGGGCGCAGGCTGCTAGAGAAGGCGCACCTGCTGCAGGTGCTCCCGGCGGCCCCGGACCAGCGAGCGCGGGCACTGCGGCGGGGAGGATGCTGAGCGAGCGGACCGTGCGGCTGCAGTACGGGAGCCGCGTGGAGGCGGTGTACGTGCTGGGCACCTACCTCTGGACCGACGTCTACAGGTGAGCCGGCCCACGGTGGCGCCCGGGCCGAGATCTCGTGCCCAGAAATCTTAGACGCGCTCAAACTCGGGGACGTGGACAGCCTTTCTCCAGCCCGAGTCGTCCCTCATCCCGAGGCCCCCGAGCCCGGAAAGCCTAAGAACCTCATCCAGAAACCTGACAACCCCCGAACCTCCTGTCCACCTTCCTGAAACCCTGAGACTCCCAGACCTCCTAACACAGCCTCAGCCCCACCTCCCTCACGACCCCTTTCGCAGACCCTCCCCTTCACCCGTGACGCCCCGTCTGGCCCTCTCCAGTTCTCCTCCCGGGGACCTCCCACCCCTTCAGCTTCTCTGCCGCCTCCTCCCCTTTCACTTCCCCTCAGCACGTCCCTTCCAGTCGACCCACCTCAGCCCAGCCCCTCTCTTGCTTCCCACTCCCAGCTCAGCGGAGCTCCTGCGGAGACTCGCAGGGGACTGGGGCAGGGCCCAAAGGGAGCTGCCCGGGCCCAAAGGGAGCTGCCCTGAGGCGGAATCTGGGCCTGGAGGTTACCCAGGCTCCGATTTCGCCCTGTGGGGGCTGCTGGTGGTTGCTTGTCCCCAGGCACTGGCCCCGAGCTCCATGTCCCCAGATGCCTTTCCCTTACTTCATTCTGAGACCACAGAGGGACCATATTCCACCGAGCTGATGACGGGGACTTGGGGTGTACAGTGGCGTACTTTGTTTGAAGAGGGACCCTGATTTGGAATTCTGCTCCCTCCCCTTCTCTCTGTCCAAGAACTTGGTTGAGTGCGGGATTTCTGAGACAGCTGGAAGTAGGGTAGGGCCCTACCACTCCCCCAGATCCCAGCAAGCAGCTGAGTCCAATGATCTGTCTCCCTGAGTACATGGGATGGGGCCTTGGAAAGGTGTGGCTGGTGTGAATGAAGGGGTGGGGTCATGCTGGGGTTTGATCCGCACCCTCCATTCCAAGCATTTTAAATGCCCCCCATTGCTAGGGTTGGAGGGGTCAGTGCTGGGGACCCAGGGCAGGCAGGACTCTGAGGTAGTACGCTGTGCTGACACCAGGTGGGCCCCCTAACCTCTCTCTGCCTTAAACTGAACTCACACAGAGGCACCATCGTGGTTTATTGCTCCCAAATCATCCTGACACCTGGAGCACCCTGCCTCTCCCAGGCCCCCACCAACCCATCATGTGTCTCCCCACCCAGCCCTGGCAGCCCTCCCACCTGCCCAGCCAGTCTCCTGTCACCTCTGCAGAGGCACTGGCCACATTGATACCACCAAGACCCAGGACCAGGGACTCACTCCAGGCCTCTGCCCCTGGCCTCAACCTCTGCCTCCCCCATGTAAACCTTAGAGGTGGACTGGGTGGTCTCTGAGGACAAGAAGACAGCAGTGGAGGATGGTCCGGGCACCAGTGGGCTGGAAGAGGTCCCCTGCCTTCCCCGCCCCCAGCACTGGACTGGGCGCCGCTAGGGAGTTGGCATGGAGCCAGACTGCGCAGGTCTTTAAGCCTCAGCTGTCACCATACCCGCCTGATTATTTGCTGGGGCATGGTTGGTGCAGCCTGAAAGACTGGCAAGATGCCCCCAGTCAGGGGTGAGGAGCAAAGGAGGGGTCCTGCTCAGGCCCCTGCCCTCACTCTATTCTGGCAGAGAGAGGCCCAGCAGGGGTGGGGACAGGGAGTGGGGCAGATGTGGACTCAGCCTCCCTCTAACAGGGGCAGCAGTGTGATGATTCCCCTTGTTCTTTCTCAGCAACCGTAAAGACCCTCACCCCCGCTGGCACTTAAGACTCTCCACCACCATTGAGGGAGCAGTGGCAGACCAGTACTGTACAAAAAAGTCCAATTTGAGCCACAAAAAAGCCACATTTGCGTTTGAAATGTTCTAGTAGTCCACATTTTTTTAGAAGTTAAAAAAGACATAATTTTAATCATATATTTTATTTAACCCAATATTTTAAAATATTACTATTTCAACATGTAATCAATATAAAAGTTATTAATCAAATGGTTTACATTCTTTTTTTTTTTTCATGCTAAGTCTTTGTAATCCAGTGTACTTTTTTTTTTTTTTTTTTTTTTTTTTTGAGGCAGAGTCTTGCTGTCACCCAGGCTAGAGTGCAGTGGCGCAATCTCAGCTCACTGCAACCTCTGCCTCCCAGGTTCAAGTGATTCTCATGCCTCAGCCTCCTAAGTAGCTGGGACAACTACCTGCTACCACACTCGGCTAATTTTTGTATTTTTAGTAGACACAACATTTCACTATGTTGGCCAGGCTGGTCTCAAATTCCTGGCCTCAAGTGATCCACCCACCTCGGCCTCCTAAAGTGCTGGGATTACAAGCATGAGCCACTGCACCCAGCCTTCCAGTGCACATTTTACACTTCAGCACATCTCAGCGTAGACTGAGCGCATCTCAGGTGCTCACTGGCCACCATGCTGGCAGCCACCATCCTGGACAGCACAGGCCTAGTGCAGAGTTCTCAGTGTCGGCTCAACGTTTCTTTGTTGCAGTAGGATATTTAGTGGCATCCCTGACCTCTGTCTCCTGGATGACAGTAGCAACCCCCAAATTGTGATGACCAAAAATGTCTCCAGACAGTGCCAGCAGTCCCCTGGCATGGGGTGTGGGGGCAAAATCACAGCCAGTTGAGACTCACTGGTCCAGTGGAAGGAAGCCACTCCCAGGTCTAAGGAGCTTGAGTTGTTACTGCTTTGTTACTCGAATTATGTAGTCATGAGAGCAGCTGTCAGCACTGACAACAGGAGGAGGTGTTAGTGGGCACATAGGAACTGAAACCACCACCTCCTTTATTTCTCACCGTAGACTCTGACCATCCCATTTTACAGATGACAAAGGTGAGGCTCAGAGAGATGAAGCCATTCGTCCAGTGTCACACAGGACTCAGGTCCAGGTCTGTCTGACTCAGAACTCATGCTCTTATTCCCCGCTCTGTCCTATGTGACCCTGAAACCAGCAGGTTGAACTGGACAACTCTCTCAGCCTGTGTCTCTTCCACCCTGGCCATGAGCCCGCTGTCCCCAGAGACTTCACCAACTCCCATTTGGCCTTCCACATTTCCCTGAGTCCTTCCCATCCCAGACACAGGTCTTGGCTCAAAACTCCAAGGGATGCCCCCAGAGCCTCCAAGTAGACCCCAAGGCACAAGGCCCGGAGGGTGCTGGGCCCAGTTTATTAGGGAGTGGCGTCCTGACCCTCACTCCTTCTGAGTCCTGAAGGTGAGTGAACCGGCCTCAACACCCACTCCCTTCCCCAAGGGCTCTGGGCTCCCTTTCCTGTAATGCAGACATGGCCTGTTCCCCTGCACACACACAGCAGGGGCCTCCCCAGCCCCATTCCTCAATGGACCTTGTGGTCCTGGCAGGCACTGCTGTACCAGCTTCCATCCACAGCTGTGTGACCTTGACCAAATCATTTTACTTCTCTGAGCCTCCACTGACCCAAATGAGGATCGATCAGAGAACACGAGGAAAGACTTGTGTCCAGTAGAAATTATATATTCGAGGTCACGGTTATGAACAATCGACCACTTTGCTGCCCCATGAGCTGTCATCCAGGCCACCAAGGGCAGGGGTGCTCTGGGCCACCCACGCTCTCCTAGCAAAACTGGCTCCTTTGAGGATGGATGCCTTGACCCAGCCGCATTCTGACTGCTGGTCTCCAGCAAGCAATGAATACATACACAGAAAGAAGGAAGTAGTGTGTTTCTTAGAGACTGTATTTTGTGATTGTTGTTAAAGATATTTGCTGTTTCCTTCTGCTCTTCCCAAATACACTCATCTTAGTCTTGGCACAGGTATGCCTGGCCCACACACTCTCCTCCAGTGGTGCCTTTAGCTGATAGCCACTTCTTCAGGGGGGCTGGCCTTGGTCCCCATCTGATTCGGTCTTGAAGTTGGAGAGAGGGCACAGAAGGGAACCTAGGTCGGTTCCATCCTGGCCACCTATGTCTCATGAACACTGGAGGCACGGGCATTCCCGGAATCTGGAAGGACTAGAGAGGGGGCACCCTCGGAGTAAAGTAGGTAGCAGGGTGGTCACCCTCTCCCACAAGCTGGGCCTCGGGAATAGCTTCTTCTGTCCCTCCCTCAGCTTAAGCTTCTGTCAAAGGGAGTGAGAGTTCTCAAGAAGGCAGGGGTCTTCTTTTCCTCCCTGGTGGACAGAGGCCAGGATCCAGATCCTGAGGTCTGCAGGAGCCTCAGGACACAGGAATGATGCGAACACCGTCCCTTTGCCTGTGCCAAGCGGTCTCCTGGTTCCATCTGCGTCCCTGAGGTGGAGGTGGGAGGAATCCCTTCCCTGGGATTCCCCAGGCAGAGGCTGACCAGCCATTGTCCCAGCAGAAGACAGAAAGAGGATAAATGTCAGCTAGTAACATCAGGTCAATAATAATAATTTGCCCATAACTCCCTGGCAGATGAGAGGGCGGCATCAGGCAGGCACTCCTAGACTTTGGCACAAACTCACTCCCAGACTGTGTCTCTTGGTTGGTGTGAGGGCTAGAGATGTACTTACTTTTTTAAAAAGTGCCAATAGGCCAGGAGGGTCTTAGATCCAGTTTGCAGTGTTGGGGGCCTGGGGTGCTATGTACTCCCCTCCCCATAGTGCACCAGGCCCCACCTCACTGATCTCTCCTAGCAATTCCCCAGCACTCCATTCTGGCCACACTGGCTTTGTGGATGCCATTAGCCCTTGGCTGCACCAAGCTTGTTCCCTCTGCGGGGCCTTTGCATTTACTGTTCCCTCTGCCTGGAACACCATCCCCCAGATCCCCACAAACCTGACTTTCGTCAGTCAAGTCTCATCTCCAATGTCACCTCCTCCAGGCAGCTTTCTTTGACTACCCCATGTCATGGTGTCCTACCCTGATTCTCGAGAACTCTGTCTCATCACATTTTTTTCTTTGCACATCTTCTCTTTCTCACTATTACTAGTTTACATTTATTGAACACTTATTTTGTGTGTGGCAGCCTTCTCAACACTTTGCAAGCTCATCTCACAGGCATGTAATAACTCACTGCAACAACTTTATGAGTTAGGTACAATTGTTGCCCCCCCTTTTGCAGTTGGGGAAACTGAAGGAAAGAATGTTTGTCTAGGATGGCACAGCCGGTAAACTGGGGGGTGCAGAGCCCAGGCCACTGCCTGCTCTGCCAGGTCGCCCTCCTGGCATTTGTGTTTCAGTGGTCCTTGTTCATGGTCCTCCCTAAAGTCAATGAACAGTTCCCTGGATGGATGGATATATGGATGGATGGATAGATGGATGGATGGATGAATGAATGTGGCCTGTGATGCTGGTGGACTGGCCTGTCATAGGGCTGAGCTCCCCACCCTCAACCTCAAGGGACAGACACTGTTGGATGGGCTTGTGGAAGGTCAAGGGCACGTGGCCAAGCTTGGCCCAAGCAGCGCTGGCTCCTGAGAGAATGACGGTGGGAGGAATTCAGGCCAGGTCAGGTGGTTCATAAATCAGAACAGCACCCAGAGCCCTCAACCCCAAACAGGAGGCCTTGCCAGGAGTCACTCCAGGGCTCTGGTTTCAGGCTAGTTCCCTGGCACTGGGAGTGTCCTAAGGAGGATCAGGCCCACTGTCCCCTGCATAGCTGGGGTCCCTGACACCTTCACTTATTGACTGCAGGGCCCTGAGTTGGGATGGGAGCCCAGTGGCAGGGACTCACCCCAGGCCCCACTCCTGGCTGGCCGGACACACTGCCACACTTTGGAGGAGGCAGTTTTTGAAGGCTGCTCTCTCCTGCCCAGCCACGCCAGACCTTGCACCCAGGGGTGTTGATGAGCCCAGGCCTGCTTCTCTCTGTCATCCACCCAAGGGCCCAGGACAGGAAGCCAGTCTTTGGTGTCCCTTCTCTGAGTCTCAGAATCCCACCTGTGAAATAAGTAGGGGGCTCTCATTCGGCCCACTCCAGAGCCAGGCCTGACCCTCCCCTCTGCCCTGCACCAGGCACACCTACCTGAGGAAACTCAGGGAAGGCTTAGCCTTCAAATTCCCTCCCAGGGAGGGGGCATCCAGGCCCAGCCCTCAGAGAGCTTGGGTTGCCCTTACACTCAGCCATTACTGTCCCTGAGACTCGAAGCAGGTGCTTGCCTTCTAGGGGCCTCAATGTGCTCATCTGTAAATGAGCACTTTGGTAATTGGGCCTTATGGGTTACCGAAAGAATAGACTGAGATCCTGTGGGCCACAGGCTTGGTACAGTGGCTGAGACATAAGAATTATCAGTTCCCTGGTGCTCTAGTGGTTAGAAAAATAATAATAATTATGTATTAATATTGAGTTTATTATGAAACAAATAATAATGAGACGTGATCCCTGTGCTCAAAGAATTCATAGCACTTATGGGAAAGAAATGTTGAACAGCATTTATTTATTTATTTATTTATTTATTTATTTATTTATTTTTTGAGAGAGAGTCTCACTCTGTCTCCCAAGCTGGAGTGTAATGGCGCAATCTCGGCTCACTGCAACCTCTGCCTCCCAGTTTCAAGCAATCTTCCTGCCTCAGCCTCCTGAGTAGCTGAAACAACAGGTGCACGCCACCATGCCCAGCTAATTTTTTGTATTTTTAGTAAACAGGGTTTCACCATGCTGGCCAGGATGGTCTCAATCTCTTGACCTCATGATCCACCCACCTTGACCTCCCAAAGTGCTGGGATTACAGGCGTGAGCCACTGCGCCCAGCCAGAACCGCATTTATTAAGTGTTGTTTGAGACACCAATAAATGGAGGGGGAGATTTTTTTTTTTTTTTTTTTGACTAATGAGATCAGGGAATAACTTCCTGGAAGAGGTGGCAACTGAGCTGGGTCTTGAAGGATAGACTGGGGATTCAGAGTGAGACCAAGAACATGCCACTCAGGGGCAGAGATTGCTGGCAGGAAAGTTGGGGCACACAGAGACAGAAAGGGCATAGCTTCAGTGGCCTGCAGTATAAGGCTAGAGGGTCAGGGAGCTCTAATCGAGCCTTGAATGCATTTTTCGGGCATTGGACTGTGTTCTGTGAGTAGTAGGGGGTCACTGAAGGTTTCTGAGGAGAGGAGTAGCTATAGATCAGACTGTTTCTTCCCTAAGGAGTGGCCCAGGACAGCTGGATGCTCCAGCTGGTAAAGGAGGCTGGCTGAAGACAGACGTCATGGTTTGCCTCCACTGATCCCGTTCAGGGCAGCTGCCCACCCACAGGGCCCCAGCCACCAGTATGCCGAGCACCAGGTGCGAGGTCTGGACTGGGGTCATCCTCTCTCCGGTCCTTGCCTGCCTCTTGCTTGCCGTGGGGTTGCATGCCAGGCTGGCACCCATGACTCCCCCACTCAGACTCCTCTAAAGCCCCGAGAGCAGGATGTCACACCCAGGCTGCCAGGAGCTGGGTTCACTCTGGGGATGAGCCCCGGCTGGTGTTAACGAGGGCCAGGCCAGGCGGGCAAGTTGAAAGCGCCAGATGCCAGGGAAGAGTAGGCGCTTCATGCTCTCAAGTCTGGGGCTGGTGAGCCACCCCAGCCCTACAAGGCCCTCCCCCTTGACTAAGCCTAGACCAGAGAGGACCCATGTCTCCTAGAGACCACGAAGCATTTGTGGGGCTGGGCAGATGTCTTTTGACACCAACCAAGTGGCCATTTCTCTCCATTTTCACAGCCACTATCTGGTCCCAAGACACCATCACTGCTCATGTAAGCAGCTGCAGCCACCCCCTCCCCAATTTCCTCTGCTGCTCCCCTAAAATCCATCCCCCCACCTTGCATTCCAGGTGATCCTGCACCCTGGGATCTATCTATGGTGCAAAACTGATCATGCCACTCCCGCTTGGAAACCTTCAGTGATTTCCCTCTACAGTCAGAAGAAAGGCCAGCTCCTTGCCATAATCTAGAAGCCCTGCTCCCACCACTCTCCCTCCCGCTTGCTCACAAACTCCAGACACACTCCCCTCCTTCCAGCTTCTCCAACATGCACGACTAACCTCCACCTCGGGCCATCACGCAAGCTGTCCTGTTGCTTGGAGATCTCTTCTCCTCTCTCTCCTCCCTTGTCCAACTCAGTGGTTGTCAAACTGTGGTCCCTGGACCGTCAGCATCAACATCACCTGGGAGCTTGTTAAAAATGCAGTTTCTCAGGCTGGGTGCAGTGGCTCATGCCTGTAATCCCAGCAGTTTGGGAGGCCAAGGCAGGTGGATCATGGGATCAGGAGATTGAGACCATCCTGGCCGACATGGTGAAACCCTGTCTCTACTAAAAATAAAAAAATAAATTAGCCGAGTGTGGTGGTATGTACCTGTAGTCCCAACTACTCAGGAGGCTGAGACAGGAGAATGGTTTGAACCCGGGAGGTGGAGGTTGCAGTGAGCCAAGATTGCGCCACTGCACTCCAGCCTGGACAACAATGTGAGACTCCATCTCAAAAAGAAATGCAGTTTCTCAGGTCCCACCCCACAGCTGATAAATCAGAAACTCAGGGGCTGGCCCCATTCACCTGTATTTTAGCAGTCCCTGTAGGTAGTGGTAATGCACACTCAAATTTAAGAATCTCTGGTTTAATTAATGCTTTTTTTAACAGTCAGCACTGCAGTGGTGTAATGAATTCTCATCTGTCCTTTAGAGTATAAGGTTTAGAGCTTAGTTCAAATGCCACTTCCTCAGGGAATCTCCCCTGGAACCCCAGACTGGGGACTCATGGCACCCTATCCTTCTCTTCTATAGCAATTATCACAGCTGGAATCATGTAATTGATTGAAAGTCTGTCTTTTCCATCCAGGCACAGTGGCTCACGCCTGTAATCACAGCACTTTGGGAGTCTGAGGTGGGCAGATCACCTGCAGTCAGGAATTCTAGACCAGCCTGGACAACATGGTGAAACCCCAACTCTAATAAAAATACAAAAATTAGCCGGGCAAGGTGGTGGACACCTGTAATCCCAGCTCCTCAGGAGGCTGAGGCAGGAGAATCACTTGAACCGGGGAGGTGGAGGTTGCAGTGAGCTGAGATCATGCCACTGCACTCCAGCCTGGGTGACAGAGCAAGACACTGTCTCGAAAAAAAAATGTCTGTTTTTTCCAAGGGCCCAGGGAATGTGTTTGCTTTTTCACCAATGTACCCTCCAACACCTAGAACTGTGCCTGGCGCATTGTAAGTGCTCAGTAAATACACGTTGAGTGAATTAATAACGATATAAAGAAGCCCTCCTCCTCCAGCCCTCCCGGAACAAACATTTATACCCACAGTGTGCCCATACTAGGCCAGGTACTGAAACAAACCATCAGAAAAAGATACAATCCCTGCCTTCAAAGAGTGAACTGCCAAAAGGGCCAGGCAGTGACTGTGGGCAACTGGATTGAGTTAGGTCTTCAGGGAGAGATGGACATTTACCAAGCAGGCAAGTCAGGGGCAAGTCTTGCTGCTAAAAGAAACGGCATATGCCAAAATGCACAGTGAGACGGAACAATGCAGGCACTGAAGTGGTGGAAGGAATCGCAGGAAACGAAACTAGAGAGTCAAGCTGAGGTGCTGTGGCCAAATGATCCTAGTTCAACACCAGGATGAAGTTTGGATTTTCTTGTATGGGTAGGCACTGAGGAGCCAGTGAATATTTTCAAGAAAGCAAACGACCTGATTTCTGTTTTTTTAGAAAAGTCACTTGGGTAATACTGTTTGGAAAGCCAAGAAGGGCAGGTGCATTCATTCATGTATTGCCAAAGACTACATCGAGCATAGCCATGTCCTGGGTTCTGGGATTCAGCAGTAGGCAGAAGAGACCTGGCCACAGGGACTGGTAGCCTGCCCCTCCATCATGCTTTCCTTAGCCTCTCTCTAATCAGCAAGGAGGTCATAACCACCTCCATGCCCCCTCCCTTTCCCTCAATACTGTCCTGGGCCCCTCCCTGAAGCCTCCAGGGACAATCGAGGTGCCTGCAGCCCCTGGCTCTCAGGTTTCTGCAAGAGGGATTCTAAAGGGTTCTTCCTGTGGAGGAAGGCAGCCAGCAGGATCTGCAGGGGACAATGGGCCCCTTTGTTGCTTCCGCCAGGGCGACTCCAAGAATAGCTGTTTGCTCAGCTCAGAGCAGGGTTGGTGCTGGGGAATAGGAGGGTGTGGGGCCCTGGAGCTGCGATGTGGGCTGGGCATTAACCCTCTGGAGCCTCTGAGGCCTCCTTCAGTTTCTCACTGGCCCAGAGGAATGACGGCGGGCAGGAAGCATCACTTACAGTAACTGAGTCAGGGTGCTAAGAGATGATCTTGTAAAACATCTTTTCCTAAACAGAACTGTGTGCAGAAGCTCAATATATAGGACCATTGCTTTAAAAAATGTACCCTTCTAGGCGGGCATGGTAGCTCATGCCTATAATCCCAGCACTTTGGGAGGCCCAGGTGGGCAGATCACTTGAGGTCAGAAATTCCAGACCAGCCTGACCAACATAGTAAAACCTCATCTCTACTAAAAATACAAAAATTAGCCAGACATGGTGGCACACGTCTGTAGTCTCTACTACCTGGGAAACTGAGGTGGGAGAATCACTTGAACCCAGGAGGCAGAGGTTGCAGTGAGCCGAGCACCACTGCACATCAACCTGGGTGACAGAGCAAGACTCTGTCTCAATTTAAGAAAATAAATAAATTAAATAAATAAATAAATAGAAGTAGTAGTGGCTCTGGTTAAGGCGGGTGGAGTGAGGGGGGCAGGAATCCATCAGGGATATCCCAAGCTAGCTTGCTTTCTTTTTTTTTTGAGACCAAGTTTTACTCTGTCGCCCAGGCTGGAATGCATTGGCATGATCTCAACTCACTGCAACCTCCGCCTCCTGGGTTCAAGTGATTCTCCTGCCTCAGCCTCCTGAGTAGCTGGGGCTGCAGGCACACGCCACCATACTTGGCTAATTTTTAGATTTTTTAAAAAAGAGAGACAGGGTTTTGCCATGTTGGCCAGGCTGGTCGTGAACTCCTGACCTCAAGTGATCCATCTGCCTCAGCCTCCCAAAGTGCTGGGATTACAGGTGTGAGCCACCATGCCCAGCCATCCCCAGCTTTCTAGAGCCTTCCTCCTCACCCCTTTGCCCAGGGCCTCTCTTCTGCACTCTCTGCACTCAGCCACCTCTGCTCTGGTTCCATCCTCTCACTTAACACTGGATGAAACTGAGAGAGGGAAAGTCCCTGGCCCAAGGCCACCCAGCGCATTGATGGACAAAGCAGAGACTTACAGGAGAGAAATGCTTCCCAGACCGAGGCCACAGTTTCCCAGACTCTCACGGCTTTTGCCAAAACCATCTTCAACCTGTAGCACTATTAACACTTTTCTTTAATCCAGCTCACGTTTCTCTTAGTAATTTTATTTTAAACAGAGATTTTATGGCATTACCATAAGTGTCAAGGCTTTATCAGTCACCATAAAAAAATACTGCATTTGATAAACACATAAGTCTTCTTCTAGATTGTTCCTCCCTATGCCACCTAAAGCACCTGAGATGGGTACCCACCCCTTTCCTTGGGGATGGCTCGCCTTCAGTCCCATTCACCTCTGCTCTCTTTGCTGGGTGTATGATGAGTCAAGCTCCAGGCTAGGCTCTGAAGAATGAGGATGAGAGAGGCCAGACCATGCCCTCAGGGGGCTTATAACCCAAAGGAGAGCAGGTACCACGTGGCAACTCAGAAAAACATGGCCCCAGCCCTAGGATGGGTAAGAGACAAGAGCTGTGGGCAGGAAGGTGGCAGTCCTCCTGAGGCATAGGGGCTAACACATGGACACTCAGAAGGTGCAGACCCCCTCAAGTCAGGGGCAAAACTGGGTTAAAACCCAGGTCCTCTGCACATCCACCCTCAGTCCAGGGCTTTTGTCCAGGCTCTGCACCCCTCTTAATGATGGATGTGGCCAGGCTTACGCCTGTAATGCCAGCACTTTGGGAGGCCCAAGGTAGGTGGATCACTTGAGGTCAGGAGTTCAAAACCAGCCTGGCCAACATGGTGAAACCCCAACTCTGCTAAAAATATAAAAATTAGCCGGGTGTGGGCCAGGCGTGATGGCTCATGCCTGTAATCCCAGCACTGTGGGAGGCCAAGGCAGGCAGATCATGAGGTCAAGAGATCAAGACCATCCTGGCCAACATGGTGAAACCCCATCTCTACTAAAAATACAAAAATTAGCTGGGCATGGTAATCCCAGCTACTTGGAAGGTGGAGTTGGAGGGTGGTGGAGGAATTCTAGGACAGGGAAGGAAGCAACACGTACAAAGGCCAGCTACTCAGGAGGCTGAGGCAAGAGAATTGCTTGAACCTAGGAGGCAGAGGTTGCAGTGAGCCGAGATTGCGCCACTGCACTCCAGCCTGGCACCTGGCTGGCGACAAAACGAGACTCTTGTCTCAAAAAATAAAAGAAAGAAATAATAAAAATTAGCTGGGTGTGGTGGTGGGCACCTGTAATCCCAGCTACTCAGGAGGCTGAGGCAGGAGAATCATTTGATCCCAGGAGGCAGAGATTGCAATGAGCTGAGATGGTATCACTGCACTCCATCCTGAGTGAGAGAGCAAGACAACTCCTCAAAAAATAAAAGATGGATGGGGACAGGGGACAGCAGGCCATGGCCAAGAAGTATCCAGTCTCACATCAGCCCCGTGTCCCAGGATGGGCTGTAGAGTTTGGAAGGGAGCAGGACAAGAACAAGAATGTCATCAGGGTGTCTTCATTGAGCTCCTCCCCCAGCACTGGGCACAGGCTCCTGAACCCTTCCCCACTCTCCTGCCACAGCCCAAGATCAGTAGTCTTTGCCCGTAGCCCCTAAAGTCTGTGGCCTGGGTCAGAGAGACACTCGCTGCCCGTCAGCCTCTACAGACTCACGCTCACGGCCTTGGCCAGCCCAGCGCTCTGAGCAGTGGACCACAGTGCTGAATGTCTGGACCAAAGGTTCTCAAAGTGTGGTACTGGGACCAGCAGCATCAACAGTTCCTGGAAGCAACTTAGACATGCAGATTCTTGGGCCCTACCCCAGACCTCCTGAATCGGACACACACTCTGAGGTGGGGCCCCGCAGTTTTGACAAGCCCCCAGGTGCTGCCACCACCGCTGCTTCTGCGCTTTCATAGCCACTGGCCTACGCATGTCATTCAGCCCTGGCTGCTGTTTCCATCTTCAGCTGCCCCAGCACCCTCAGCCTCTGCCATTCCCACTGGCCTCTCCAGAGATGGAATCCACAAATCTACAGCCTTCAAAAGAAAACACCCTATAGATTTAAACAGCGCCCCTGATGATTCTGATGCCTGCCATAGTTAAGAACTCCTGCAACCCAAGAGCTCCAGGCCCCCAAAATAGCAGCTGTGCCTTTGAGACAGGCTTACACGTATGTCTTAGCCACAAATCCCACAAGAATCCCACCTAAGTCCCTCTGAGCCCTCGTGGGCCTTCAGACCAGTGGCTGGATTTAGCAAAGCCGCCAGCCCTAGGCACCTTCCTCCCTTAGTCCCCTGTCCTTCCTGTCACCTCTCCTTAAGCCAACAACAAAACACCATGGACAGGGTGGCTTAAAAACAAATTCATCTTCTCACAGTTCTGGAGGCTGGAAGTTCAAGATAAAAGGGGTGGCATGGTGGGTTCTGGTGACGGCTTTCTTTCTGGCTTGCAGATGGCCCCCTGTCACTGTGTCCTCACATGGTCTTTCCTCAGTCCGAGAGAGATCTCTCTCTATCCACTTGTCTCTCCCTCTCTTGCTCCTCCTCCTCCTCCTCCTCCTCCTCCTCCTCCTCCTCTCTCTCTCTCTCTTTCTTCTCCTATTTGATTAGAAGCCTGCCCTTAGCTGGGCGCAGTGGTTCACACCTATAATCCCAGCACTTTGGGAGGTCGAGGTGGGTGGGTCACCTGAGGTCAGTTCAAGACCAGCCTGGCCAACATGGTGAAACCCCGTCTCTACTAAAAATACAAAAATTAGCTGGGTGTGGTGGCATGCTCCTATAATCCCAGCTACTCAGGATGCTGAGGTAGGAGAATCACTTGAACCCAGGCGGCAGAGGTTGTAGTGAGCTGAGATGGTGCCACTGCACTCCAGCCTGGGAGACAGAACGAGACTCCATCTCAAAAAAAAAAGAAGCCTTCCCTTATGACCTCATCTAATCTCAGGCCAGGTGCAGTGGCTCACGCTTGTAATCCCAGCACTTTGGGAGGCTGAGGCAGCTGGATCACAAAGTCAGGAGATCAAGACCATCCTGGCCAACATATTGAAATCCCCTCTCTACTAAAAATACAAAAATTAGCTGGGTGTGGTGGCGCATGCCTGTAATCCCAGCTACTCGGGAGGCTGGGGCAGGAGAATCCCTTGAACTAGGGAGTCGGAGGTTGCAGCCAGCCGAGATCACGCCACTGCACTACAGCCTGGTGACAGAGCGAGACTCTCTCAAATAGAAGAAGAAAAAAAGGAGCTCCATCTCCAAATGCCATAAGACTGCGGGTGAAGGCTTCAACATGCTAATTTGGGGAGACACAAACCTTCAGTCCACAGCAGCCAGATCACACCAATTTGTTCTGCTCTGAGATCTTGATGGCTTTTCAAGAATTCCAAAAGTATTTCCCTTGAAATGGAAAACCACTTCTGAACCTCAAGAAGTGACTCAGAAAGTGAGGGATGTCAGGGCACCAAGAAAGCTGTGGCAGCAAGGAAGGGATCTTTATAACAAGAGACGCCCCACCTTTGTCACTTTAGGACCCGGGCTCCAGGCTCCATCTCTGTGAGGTCTCAGCACTTGACTCAGTGATCCTGGGCAGGGAGACGGGGTTCCAGGCCCAGCTCTGCCGGCAGAGCAGATTCATTCCTGCCTGGGCCTCCATCTTCCACCTTCACAGGACACTGTGGCTCCCAAAACTGGCCACCCATCAGAGGCACTAGGAAACGTGTTAAGAATTCAGATTTCCCAGGCCCTGTCCTCAAACATTCAGACTCAGGAGGTGCAAGAGTGGCCCAAGAGATTCCATGTTCAACACAAGTCCTCCTCACAGCCAGGTGACTGCAGTGCAGCCTTTGGAGTCTCCCAGACCAGATAACCTGGGAGGGCTATTGCAGCCTTGCCCCTCCAGAATGTTTTTAAAAAAGAAGAGACAGGGACTTGCTCTGTTGCTCAGGCTGGAGTGCAGTGGCACAATCATAGCTCTCTGTGGCCTCAACTCCCAGGCTTAAGCAATTCTCCCACCTTAGTCTCCTGAGTAGTTGGGACCACAGTTACCCACCAGCAGGCCCAGCTAATTTTCTAATTTATGTAAAGACAGGGTCTCGCTGTGTTGCCTGGGCAGGTCTCAAACTCCTGGGCTCAATTGATTCTTGGGTTTTGACCTCCCAAAGTGCTGGGAGCAGGAGTCTCCTCTTAAAGCCCCCCATCCCACCTACCCCAGAGCTCCCCCTAACCCTCTCTTTCTCTCCCCACAGCGCAGCCCCAGCCGGAGCCCAAACCTTCAGCCTGAAGCACTCGGAGCGCGTGCAGGTGGAGGTGGTGCGCGATGGGGAAGCAGAGGAGGTGGCCACCAATGGCAAGCAGCGCTGGCTTCTCTCGCCCAGCACGACCCTGCGGGTCACCATGAACCAGGCGAGCACAGAGGCCAGCAGTGACAAGGTACCACAGGCTGGAAGTCCAGCCATGCAGGAGACAGGCAGGCTTTTCCCATGGAAACCGCATGGAGGCCATGTGTCATTTTCGGTTTTGCAGTAATTACATTGAAAAGGCAAAAAGAAACAAGTGAAATTAATTGTCTTTTTTTATTTTTTGAGGCTGGAGTGCAGTGGCACAGTCTTGGCTCACTGCAACCTCTGCCTCCCAGGTTCAAGCAATTCTCCTGCCTCAACCTCCTGAGTAGCTGGGACTACAGGCACACACCACCATGCCCAGCTAATTTTTGTATTTTTTAGTAGAGACGGGGTTTCATCATGTTGGCCAGGCTGGTCTTGAACTCCTGACCTCAGGTGATCCACCCGCCTCAGCTTCCCAAAGTGCTGGGATTACAGGTATGAGCCACCAAGCTTGGCCAACTGTCTTAATATATATTACTTAACACTATCTATCAAAATATTGTTTTGATATATCATCAATATTAAAAATATTAACAAAATTGTTCATTTTTAAGAGACAGGATCTCACTCTGACTCCCAGGCTGGAGTGCAGTGGTGTGATCATAGCTCACTGCAACCTCAAGCTACTGGGTTCAAGCAATCCTCCTGCCCTAGCCTCCTGAGTAGCTGGGACTCCAGGCGCCTGCCATCATGTCCAGCTTCCCCCCAACGCCGCCAGAGATAGGGTCTCACTATATTGCCCAGGCTGGTAGTTTATATTCTTTTTCCATACCAAATTTAAAATTAGTGTGTGTTTTACACTTATACCACATCTCAGCTCAGAATAGCCACATTTCCAGTGCTCGGTAGCCATGTGGATGGTGCAGGGTTAGACCATGGAATGATGGCTTCATAAAGGGCGAAAATTAGAGACAGCTGAGTGATGCAAAGTGTGGAGGCTCTGAACCATAGTACCATTGGAGCTTACAGTCACAAGTGTCCCTGGTCTATCTGTAAAATGGGGTGCTGAACACCCATGAGTGATTTGCCCAAGTGGTGAGGCTGAGACCAGAGCTGTCTCCCTGCTGGATTCTGTAATTATGAACTTTACCATGTGCTTCATCAGTGATGGCACCAAACATGGTCCAAGGAAAATAGCCTCAGCTCTGTCCCCTCCATGGCCACTAGACATGCAGCATGGCAGATATGAGGGCCCCCCAGGCAGCGGAATGCACACAGTGGCACAGGAAGGCAGATGTCATCCTAGCTTCACTCAGCCAACAGGAGGGGAGTCTACAGTCGAGTTCAGTTACCTGAGAGAAGCTGCCCACCAACCCAGGAGTGCTTCCTGGAGGAGAGGGTTCTGATGCTTGGAGACGGTTGGCTTGACAAGCCATGAGTTGTGAGGGAGAGCAGTTGCTTGTGGTTTTCCTGCTTGTGATCTGTGATCTCTGCTCTCTTTTCTCTCTACCCCAATGCGCTCCCTCCCTACCAAGGTCACCGTCAACTACTATGATGAGGAAGGGAGCATTCCCATCGACCAGGCGGGGCTCTTCCTCACGGCCATTGGTGAGTTGGGTGTGGCTGCAGTTTCGGTGCCTTCATCTCCCAGGGCCTGGCACTGCTGTCCTTCTCCGGGGCACTTATGCCGTTCTTAGTGCACCAGACCTGGCCCTTGGAGCTTCTTCTGAATGGCACATGCCTGGGGAGGGATGTTACATGTGCCCCAGTCCTTCCATACTGGGATGGGAGCTTATCTGCAGGAATAGGCACTCCCTGATCCATCAGCAATTCCCCCCAGTGTCAAGGTCCCCTGCCCAGGGTCTGTGGGCCCTAAAAGAGAAAAAAGGAAAGTGTGTTCCTCCCCTGCCTCTCCCCTACAGTCTGGAGAAGAGTGCCCCTCTCATGGCGAAGGGAATGGCCACAGTCTATAAAACCTGTGGCTGTTCTCAACAATCCCACCTGCCCCTGACCCTCCTCAGATTCAGTCCTGAGGGTGCAGAGATGCAGCCTCCAGGTCTCTAACTCACCTAGTCCAAGCCCTTCATTTGATCCGCAAGGATGGTGAGGCCCAGAGAGGTTAGGGAATTCATTCAAAGTCACACAGCAACTGGGCCGGCAAGTTGAGTCCAGAACCCAGGATTACCCGTCTCAGGTTCGGTCCATTGCATCGCACTGCCCTGTGCGGGGTGCCAGGCCTGCATGCCGGGGAAGAGGGCCCCAGCATGGCTCCACTGGACCCTGAGCTGTGATCATCTGAACTTTCTGTCGCTCCACCCTCCTGCAACTGAGCCATTGTTTTTATGGCATTTTGTTTCATTTTTTTAATCATAGAATATTAAAGCCAGGAGGACATTTCAGAGGGTCATTTTGTTCACCCAGCCTTGGTTTAACATTGACAGCGCTGCCGCACGGCAGAGGAAGGGAACTGCTGGTTATTGAGTCAACTGCATGCGGAGTGCTTTAAGGATAATGAGGTGGCCTGCTCACTGCAGACCTGCTTGCTGTCTAGAGCTGTGCTGGGCACTTTGAGGAGGAGGAGGAGGGGGAGGATCATAAACAGCTGATATTGACTGAGCACCTACAGTGTGCCAGGCTCCAGTACTCTTGATGTTTCATCGTTGCAATTTCAATCTCTTCTTCGAACAATTTCAAGGATAGACACTATTATTATCCCACATCTCATTTTATTATTATCCCATTTTATAGATGAGAAAATCAAGGCTCAGAAAAGGTATAACAGACAAATACTTGCCTACGGCCACATCTCCAGAAAATGGTTGGTGAGATGCCAAGTCATTTCAGTTATCCCACACTCTCAGGGGGGGTCTCACCTCCCTGAAATACAACCAGCTCCCAAGCCAGCCCCTCCCTCCCAGCCCCGCCCCCTCCGGCCCTGTGCTCTCTGCGGCTGTAATAAGACTCAGCAGAGCCCTTCTCATTCTTGGCTAATTCTGAAAGGGGCTCGGTTCCTGGTCCCCCGTCCCTCTTTCTGCACCAAGGAGGTGCCCAGCCCTGGGGTAGGAGACCTTGAGATGGCCTTGGTGAGGGCGGCAGATGATAACCAAAGACTCCTGGGCTGTACTGAGCTCTGGCACGTGTGTGAACCCTGCATGCACACAGCACACAGGCTGTCTCAGATGACAGTCCCTGAGGAAACCTAATCCCACCGAGACAGGGACACCTGAGGACGGGGGCAGGAAGGGCCTGACACCTGTCAAATGAGGGTGATCCCAGAAGGCTGACTGCACCATTAACAAGACTTCCACCAAAGCAAGACAGACAGGATAGATGGGAAAATAAGGCCCGATAAGGAGGCAGGACTGGACTTTTCCTCCCCACTAGATGACCAAGCTGTGCTTCCTCTAAGCTCAGAGGTATCAGCATGGCTGAGTCCCAAAAGATGCCACGTATGCCCATGACAAGGAACCGAGTTCAACCTTCTGTGGTCCTGAGGGTGTGCTTTCTTAATACTCATTTATTAAACTGTGACAAGTTCCAGATATTTAGATTTCATGAGCCAATCAAATGTCCCCTCCCTCCCCTCACCCCCTTAAAAATGAGAAGACTAACAACTATGATGCTTGGCAAAAAAAAAAGAGAGAAAGATAAATGCATTAAGAAAACAGTCTACGGCCAGACGTGGGGCTCATGCCTATAATCCCAGCACTTTGGGGGCACCGAGATAGGCGGATCACGAGATCAGGAATTTGAGAGTACTATGTCTGTACTTAAAATACAAAAATTAGCCAGGCGTGGTAGCACACACCTGTAGTCGCAGCTACTCAGGAGGCTGAGGCAGGAGAATTGCTTGAACCTGGGAGGTGGAGTTTGCAGTGAGCCGAGATTACACCACTGCATTCCAGCCTGAGCAACAGAGCAAGACTCCGTTTCAAAAACAAAAAAACAATTTGCTATCAACTTTAACCGTCATTTTAACTCCTAAAAAATAGGCAGGGCCTAATCTCAGAATAAAAGACAGTCATTCAATTGCAAAAAGAAAGCTTTATGAGAAACTAACCCCACTGAAATTCTGTTTCCTGTTCCAACATAGACCCTGGTGAAAAGCTGGTTTCCCTTGGGAGGCTCTGTTCTGTCTGTCCCCTCTAGTCTTCTCTTTCCTCAGACATCTGCCTCAGGAGCCCTTGAGCCCCTCATCCTGAGTAATCAATCACTCAGGGACAGTGCCTCGGAGGCAAGGGCACCCCCAACATTTCAAGATGCTGGGACTGACCCCCGGCACAAAAATATACCTGAGCCTCTCACCTTTGTCCTATCCTGAGTCCACATTGAGGAGAAAGAGCCTGGGCCTCAGAGTGGACAGAAATAAGCCTAAGATCTTTCTCTGCCCCCTCCAGCCACCTTGTGACCTTGGGCAAGTCACATTATACCCCTGAGCTTTGGCTTCCTCGTCTACAAAATGAGCATCACAGAGCAGCCTTATGTGGCATTTACAAGGATTCTGTGGGATGCTGTGTGCAAAGGACACAGCACAGAGTGGGTGCTTGGTCAATGCCCTCCCTGCTTTTCTCCCTTGGTCTTGGGGTAGCCATATTTTCTCTCTGCCTCAGGGAAGTTAAATAAACGTATGGTCCTAAGCCAGGCGCAGTGGCTCACACCTGTAATCCCAGCACTTTGGGAGGCTGAGGCGGTGGGGGGATCACCTGAGATCAGGAGTTCAAAACCAGCATGATTGACATAGAGAAACCTCATCTCTACTAAAAATACAAAAAATTAGCCAGGCGTGGTGGTACATCCCTGTAACCCCAGCTACTCTGGAGGCTGAGGCAGGAGAATTGCTTGAACCCAGAGGCAGAGGTTACGGTGAGCCAAGATTGCACCATTGCACCCCAGCCTGGGCAAGAAGAGCAAAACTTGGTCTCAAAAAAAGGAAAAACAAACCTATGGTCCCTCTCATCTTCCTCCTGGGATTTTGGAACAAATTCATGGTTCCTTTGGCAAATCAGGCTGTGGGTCTAGGTCCCAATCCAGCCTAGGACTTGCTGTGTGACCTTAACAAGTAGTCACCACCACTTGGACTCACTGTTTGCAAACTATACAATGAGGGGTTTTAGCGAATTAATCCCTAAGGACCTTCAAGACTCTGGTTAGGGTTGATTTGCAAAGCTTCCTTTAATGGGGGAGGGATGAGGGAAAGGGAGGGGTGGGGGGGGAGGGAGGAATAAGCCCATCCTATCTGAGGTCCTGGCAGTGGAAGCAGTACACATACATAGGCCCCAAAAATGTTAACATCAACCTAAGGGGCTCGGTCCTAGGCCTTTTCCCCAGAGCCTGGGATATTTGCCCTGGTTGGCTGTGGGGGAGGGAGTCCTTCCTTCCCATAACACCTCAAGCTACTTAGTAAGGCAAGAAGGCTAGGCACCCTGCCACTCCCCGGCCACCCTCCAAAATGCTTGTGCCTCTTGGTCACAGCTGAGGCCTCAGTGTCTTGATTCTCAGGGCAGACGGCCTTGAACCCAATCCTAGTGACATTTCCCGTCAATCTGCCCCACACCCAGGAGCCACCTGACACTTTGGGGCTATTCTGGGGAGCTGAGGTGGGATCCAGAGCCTCTGGGAAATGTCCTCTGGAGCCCAGAGGCCCTGAAGCAGTGGCCCTCTCCCTCCTCCCCCTTGGGAAGGCAGAGCCATCCTGAGTGGCAATGCTCTGGACAGGTCACATCAGCCCTGTCCTCTGTTTCTACCTGCAGCATCCCACTGGAATCTAGTTAAATCAGACACTGGGGGAAGCCTTGCAGAGGTGAAGTCCTATGGGCATGACTACAGGGGGATCTCTGGGGATGAAGGAGCCAGAAGGTCATTTCAGTAGATTAGGAGACAGGACATGGGGCATAAGAGAGGAATTATGAGGCTGGGTGCAGTGGCTCACTCTTGGAATCCCATCCCTCTGGGAGGCCAAGGCGGGTAGATCACCTGAGGTCGGGAGTTCGAGACCAGCCTGACCAACATGGAGAAACCCTGGATCTAGTAAAAATATAAAACATTAGATGGGCGTGGTGGCGCGCGCCTGTAATCCTAGCTACTCAGGAGGCTGAGGCAGGAGAATTGCTTGAATCTGGAGGCAGAGGTTGCAGTGAGCCGAGATTACACCATTGCACTCCAGCCTGGGCAACAAGAACGTAACTCTGGCTCAAAAAAAAACAAAGAGAGGAATGCTGAAGCCCTGTGCGAGGTTGGGAGGAGGACGGTAAGGGAGCCACACTACGAAATGCCCACATTTCATAACAGGAACGTAATGAAGCCTGTCTGAATTCAACAAATCAGGAAATCGTGATAAGCATGATTACTTAGTATTTATGGAGGTTGCCTCAGGCAGCTGAGGAGAAGAGCTGGACAGGGAGCAGCTGTCTTTCTTTAGAAGCAGTGTGTTACTATTTGATTTGATTCGATTCACACTATGTCCAACTATGACATGAATCAAATGTTTAAATTTAAGAATTTGTAATGGAAAAAGCAGTATGGAGTGCACCATAGTTTCTTGTCCAGCCCATGGCCCACTGCTTTCATGGATCCACTACAAGGCGTCTCAGTGTAATGTCACCTTGTAGCCTAGAGACAAGGGCTGCCAGGGTGGGGATGTGGGCACTTCCTCTGGGAATTACCTTTAAGGGAGCAAGTCTTGGGTCTCTGACTTTGGGCCGGGCTTTTGGAAACAGCCTGGTGGGAGGTCAGCCTGGGTTCATTGCAGGGAACAGCGGAGAGCAGGCATCTGGAGTCCGAGGCTCTGTGCTCTGGGAATTTCGGTGGTCACTCCCTGCTGGGGGTCCACATTTCCTCATCTGCAGCATTAGGGGGTGGAGGTGATCCTGCCTTCCCTGGGGTGGCCAAGAGAACATGCCATGGCAAACACTCTGCAGCTGCAGAGCAAGATGCCCACAGGGGAGAGACTGTCATCTTGAAAAGGGCCGAGCGGATCCCTAAAGAGGCTGGGCCCAGCTCCTTCCCAGGGAAGAGTTTCAGGCAGCCGAGCTCCCTGAAAGGCAGCATTCAGTAGGTGTGACCGGCTGGAAAGTTCACAAAGGTCTGAGAGCCAAAACCAATATTATTCCTGCCCCGGCACCTCAGCCTCTTTAACAGCCCCTCGTGCTACTGCCTTCCATTCTGTCCCTTGGGGTCCTTATCCTGCACTGGTCTCCCAGATTACCAGCCAGATTTGCTGACAGGTGACTTCTCTGAGCCTGGGTTTGCTGCCCTATGAAATGGGAGTATTTCAGGAATGCTGTGCCTGTAAGTTTTCTGAATATGAGCTATGAATCAGACCAACCGCACTGTGTACCCCAGTTCTGCTAGTGTCCCTATGGGACCTTGGGCATGGGACTTTACCTCTGAACTGAGGCTCCCAGATCTGTTCAGCGAGGATCATTCCCCAAACCCCAGCCAGAACAATGAAGTGATGGGAGGGCCCGGACCTCCCCGATGGCAGCTCTTGCTGCTGTAAGCTACGAGGTCCACACAGTGCCTGCTGATCGTCTCCAGTGGGTAGTGGGATGTTGAGGCAGAGCGGGGGTTGCAGAAGATGACGTCAGCAAGGTCCTCCCTTTCCCGTGACCAAAGGAATGGCTGAGACACACCCTAATCCCACAGGTCTTCCTCATGCCCCTACCCCACCCTGGCTGGCAGGCTCAGCAACTCACCCATGTCTCTTTTCCGCAGAGATCTCCTTGGATGTGGACGCAGACCGGGATGGCGTGGTGGAGAAGAACAACCCAATGAAGGTACCTAGCTATCAGGGAAGTCACAACCCTGAACCCGGGGATCCCGCAGGCAGCCATTGTTCTCCCACCAAGTAAACAATTCCCATTTCACAGCTCAGGAGACTGAGGCCCAAGACAGGCTCGAAGACACACAGCATACCAATGATGGAACCCGCAGAGGATCCCAGGCTCCTTATAGAGACGGCTACTGAGTCTCTGTTTCCCCATCCCATGATGGGGACGCCCAGTTCATGGTACCGTTAGAAAGGATGAATATGCCCACTACTCACTACAGAGGAAGCGCTGCAAAGGCATTTGCTCTTCCTATTTTGCCTTTTCTTTTAAAACTGGGGAGGTGGGGGAGACAGACCCTCAGGACAGAGGGTTGCATTCATCATTCTCAGTTCATTCTGTAAGTAGCTAACTATTGACTGATGGCAAAAAAAAAAAAGGAGAAAGAAAATCTCAGTTCAAGGCATAGTATTCTCTCTGCTGGTACATGCACAGTCCTTCTCCTCTTTCTATGTATTCATTCATTCATTCATTCATCATTCATTCATTTGTTCCTTCGTTCATTTACTTGTTTTCTTTCATCTTGCATTCTCCACTCCCATTCTGTTCCCCACAGAGGACCATTTTGATGGGCTGAATGTGACTCTTTCTGCTCTGGTGTCTCTCGGGAGGCATGTGGTGTGGTTGGTGTGCGTGTATTTTTAATTTGTGCTGACAGCATGGTGTTCTCCATCTCATTCAGATTTGGACTTTTCTCTCAGCCCAGTTTCTAGGCTCCATCAGTCTTGCTCTGTGTACATTCAGGCTGCTGCTTCTAACTGCTTTCCTTTTTCTGCCCTTCTTATCATCTAAATTTTTGCTGTGGGCATATGTGACCTTTATAATAACACTCCGAAGCCTGGGGTAAATTTACGTAGAGGGGTGCTTTATAAAGTAAAATAAACACAGCCTGATGAGAAGCCTGGGTCTGGCAGCCTGCCCCTGACTCTCTGCAGGTCAGGGGAGGGTTCTCAGCCCTGTGGGGGAGCCCCCTTCTTCTAGGATCTCAAGCAGGGCTTGCCTGAGACCAGGGCCAGCCCTGCACACTCATTTTCTGAGACTGTGGCCAAGCCACATGACCGTGAACTCCACAGAGGTCTCTGAGGCCCAGCAGTCCCAGGGAGAGAGCTTCCAACCACCCCCAAGGGCCTCTGCAGTCTTGGCAAAGTCACACAATCCCCATGAGCCTGAACTTGGCTAGAATTTTTAAACCTGGGCTGGTGAAGTTTTCACGTTTTCTTCACTCATCCCGTAACGATTTGCTGAGCATCTTTTATGTTCCAGGAGTGGGTCAGGCCCAGGGGATGCAGAAAGAACAAGAGAAGCACAGCTCTAGCCTTAAGGAGCCCATGGTCCACATTAAATATGGAGTGTTGGACTGGGCGCGGTGACTCAAGCCTGTAATCCCAGCACTTTGGGAGGCCGAGGCGGGTGGATCACGAGGTCAAGAGATCGAGACCATCCTGGTCAACATGGTGAAACCCCATCTCTACTAAAAATACAAAAAATTAGCTGGGCATGGTGGCGCATGCCTGTAATCCCAGCTACTCAGGAGGCTGAGGCGGGAGAATTGCCTGAACCCAAGAGGTGGAGGTTGCAGTGAGCCGAGATTGCGCCATTGCACTCCAGCCTGGGTAACAAGAGCGAAACTCTGTCTCAAAATAAATAAATTAATAAATAAATAAATATAGAGTGTTGTGGGTGGCCATGTCATCACAATTGTCCTGAGTCCTCCCAAAAAGGATGTTATGATGCCAGGTGTGGACCCGGGGAAGCTGTTCTGTCCTAGAGAATCAGAAAGGCCTCCAGGAAGAAGAGATGGTTATGCTGTAACCAAGGAGGGGAAGAGTGGGCCAGGTGAAAAGGGGCAGGACAGCAGCAGAGGAACAAGCTTGGGTAAAGGCCCAGGAGCTTGGGTCTTTTGGGAGCAGAAAGGCACCAGGATGGGTAGGGCAGAGTGAGCGAGGGGCAAGGTGGAGGAAATGAGATAGAAAGGAAGGCACATTTCACCAAGCCTTGCAGGCCATGGCGAGGAATTGGGGCTTCATCCTAACTCAACAGGGAGCCCCTGTCCTGGCTTAAAGCAGGGAAGTGACACAATCTGGCCCACGTTTGTTCTAGTAGCGCTCTGTCTGGCTGCAGTGTAGAAAGTGGAGCACCATGCAGGTCCTATTTGGAGAATTCAGAGCGTGTCTGGAAACAGCTGGGTGTCATTTATCCAGGCGCCTCCTCCCGAACTCCCCTAGGAACCTTGGGACCTATGGTAGAATGTCTGTCTGCTCATTTCTCTGGCCAGCCTCCACCTCCCTGCCTCCACTCTTGCCAGACACCAGCCGATCCAGACAGGAGGCCCATAAATGCCTCTGTCAGCCTTCCTGTCTCTGTGCCTGTATTGAACGTGCCTTTGACGCCCTTGCTGATCCTCTGTGGATATCAGTCTTAAGATTCACATTTGCCAGGTCACAGCTGCCCCAGTGGGTGGCGGCTACTCTTTCCTCTCATGCTGGGGCGACATGTCTCTCTGGTGTCCCATGGGGTCCATACTAGGATAGAGAAGAGGGCACTGACCTTCTTCCTGCCACTGTAGGCGTCCTGGACCTGGGGCCCCGAGGGTCAGGGAGCCATCCTGCTGGTGAACTGTGACCGAGAGACACCCTGGTTGCCCAAAGAGGACTGCCGTGATGAGAAGGTCTACAGCAAGGAAGGTACCAGCAGGCCCTGGTTTTGGGGGGCAGGATGGGAGGAGTAAAATATTCATGCCCAGTCTTGGGCTGGACTGAGGGTGAGTTGAGTGTAGACTCAGGCCTCCTGGAGATGATGGGCACAAATACCCACTCTTGCTCAAAGCCAAAGGCAAAACTGTAAACATGGTTTGATTAGAATTTTTTTTTTTTTTTGAGATGGAGTCTCGCTCTATTGCCTGGGCTAGAGTGCAATGGCACAATCTCAGCTCACTGCAACCTCTGCCTCCCAGGTTCAAGCAATTCTCCTGTCTCAGCCTCCTGTGTAGCTGGGATTACAGACACGTGCCATCATGCCCAGCTAATTTTTGTGTTTTTGTAGAGACAGGGTTTCACCACGTTGGCCAGGCTGCTTTAGAACTCCTGACCTCAGGTGATCTGCCTGCCTCGGCCTCCCAAAGTGCTGGGATTACAGGTGTGAGCCACCACACCTGGTCTGGAACCTTTTAAGTTACATACATGCATAGAAAATAAACTAGAAGGAAATTCCCAAAAGGTTAATCATCTCCAGTTTTGGAGATGACAACTGGTTTTTATTCTCTTTTATGCTTTTCTTTTCTTTTTTTGAGACTAGGTCTTGTTGTACTGCCCAGGCTGGAGTGCAGTGGCATGATCATAGCTCACTACAGCCTCAACCTCCTGGGCTCAAGCCATCTTCCTGCCTCAGCCTCCTGAGTAGCCGGGATTACAGGCACGTGCTACCATGCAGGCTAAATTTTTTTATTTTGGGGGGGATCTTGTTTTGTTGCCCAGACTAGTGTTTGCCTCCTGGCCTTAAGCAATCCACCCAGCTCTTCCTCCCAAAGCCCTGGAATTACTGGTGTGAGCCATAGCACCCGGCTTCTTTATGCTTTTCTACGGTTTCCATAGTACACATCCATGGGGATTTTTTCCTGATTATCAAAGTAAAAAGCATTGGAAGGCTGAGGCTCCAGCAGAATATCTCTCCATTCTCACCTCCTGCTCCCCAGATCTCAAGGACATGTCCCAGATGATCCTGCGGACCAAAGGCCCTGACCGCCTCCCCGCCGGATACGAGATGGTTCTGTACATTTCCATGTCGGACTCAGACAAAGTGGGCGTGTTCTACGTGGAGAGTGAGTGACCCCAGCCCAGCCCAGCCCTTTCCAGCCACCTACCCTCCTCCCCTTAGCAGGTGTGGCCTCCACAGGTACAGGTGCCTGGAGAAGACCTGGATTGGTCTCTGGGTGATTGTAATGTGGCAGTGCTGTTACCAAGTGAAGTTGAAAGACTTCCTCCTCTCAAGTGTATCTGGAGTGACGTGGGTCTATGTAGAACCCAGAGGCCCTACGTCCCGACAAATCAGGGGAGGAAGGGCATTTGGGCACCTTCTTTTCTGTAGTCATGTCACCTTCAGCATACCTGAGGCAGGGCAGGCACCACCTCCAGGTATTTTCTTCCAAGTCTGACTTCCAAAGACCCTTGACAATGCAGTGGGCACCTCCAAGAGTTGACCCTTTGCTCCTCTTGATGGTGACAGGTGTCCTGGGCCCCCATTGTGTAGGCCCTGGAGCTAGTCCTGGTAGCTGCCAGCTCTGTCTCACCCTTTCTGTGAACATGTGTTGAGCCCCTTGGTGCCAGGCGCTGTTCTCAGCTTTGAGATCTCTGCAGTAAACAACAGTCACACCCTGACCTCAAGGAGCCGCCAGTCTAGCAAGAGAGACATAATCAATACCAAAATTGGGGAAATGAAATAGAATAAGTGAGGAGAATGGCAGAGCAGAGGCACCACTAAATGGGTGCCTCTGGAAAGGCCTCTCTGAGGAGGTGACATCTGAGCTGAGACTCAAGTGAACAAAAAGAAAGAACCAGCCACTCGTGAGCTGAGGGAATAGTGTTCTAAGCAGAGGGAACAGCATGTGGAAAGCATGGAGGAGACCAGTTTGAGTGTGGGAGGAGTAGGCGGAAGCCCAGAGCAGGGCATGTATTGGGAGTCAAGGTCAGGGAGACGGGCCAGGGGCCAGAGCGTGCAGACTGGGTTTGGATTTTATTCTGAGTGCAATGGAATGCCATTAGCGGGTTTTAAGCAAGGGACTGTCATAATAATGACATATGTATTTAAAAAGCTACCTCAGCAAAATAGTTGGCATTGCAGTTTGCCATGATAAAGGGCGGGTTGTGGGGTGGGGGGGTTTCTGCATGCCCAGCTGACTCAGGGGGCAGCATCTGTGGCCCAGCCCTGGGCCCATCTCTTGACAGGCCTACTGTATCCAGGGCACTCACCATGAGGTGAGGACCCTGAACCCTCACCTCAGACAGCTATTTAGCCAGGATGGCAGTGGACAGCAGCCACCTAACACCAGTCCTCCTTCTAATCCACCCTGGGCTCCAAGCAGTGACTTCACGCAGGTTGGAATGTGCCCAGAGTCAGGCTGGCTCCCCTGCCCAGGGGCTGGAAATGTTGATGTTTACACCATCAGGCCAGGGCTATCATGGAGGATGAGGTCGCCAGCGGGAGCAGGAGGGATGCGGGCAGAACCACAACCTCAGCCCCTTGACCTTGGTGTCGTGACATAAGACCTGTTGCAAATAATGACGTCTGGACATTATCTTGAGGTTTCTTCTTTTGCTAAAGGGAGTGAACTCTGGTCTGGTTCCATCATCTCATCCCTCCCTGTCACTGGCCATCTGAGATGGGTCCTGAGCAGACAAGGAGAAAGATGAACTACCACCGCAAGGGCTTTGAGAACGTTCCCCGGAGCCCCTTCTCTGGGGTTGCCCATCTGGTAGGGAGCAACCATGACGAAGGCAGTGGCCACCCAGAAGAGACAGTTTCCCAAAAATGCTGACTCCTGGGTGAAAACCCTGAGCTACACACACACACACACACACACACACACACACACACACACAAGCAAAGGATGATAGATAATTGATCAGTAGCACAGTCTCCTTTTCTTCCATGCAAACACGTTGGAGTTTTGTCACATTCCATGTACGCCTGTGGATGAGCAAATGTCAGGTGTCCTGGTAGGGTCAGACCAGCTCTCCCTATCACACTATCAAGGGAAGGGACTGGGTTGGAGACCAAAGGACCCCTATAGGGAGTGTTGGAGTCAGGGAGCTATGATTCCAGGTCCAGGCAAGTGTCTTCACCAGCCCCAGTCTCTGATGTGGCATGGGACTAGCAAGAGCCCCGACTGTCCCGGGTGCCCAGGTGGGGATCAAATGAGGAAGGTGTGTCGGGCACTGAGTGTGGTAGCTGGCCTTTGGAAAGCTCTCCAGAAATGGCAATTATGGCTTTTGTTGAGATTATGATGATTGTTAGTCATCATGATTGGGGTGGACAGAGGTTTCAGTGCTCCTAGGAAGACCTGGTGGCCGCTTCAGCCTCACGTTCTGCCCGGAACACCAAGCACTGGGGCCTTACCTCTTTACACGAGGATATGGTAATCTAGTTTGCCCAGGACTTTCCTTGTTTTAGCACTGAGGGTCCCTCATGCCAGGACACCCTTCAGTCCCAGGGAAACCAAAATAGCCAGTCACACTATCAACGAGTCTCTCTGGGAAGTAGAATCTTTCCAAAGTAGCTGGGAAGGTGAAGGCAAACCATACCACGTGCTGGCCAATGCCTGGGGCAAAGAGGTCCCGGCGGTCAGCGGGCCCAGCCCAAGGCACGAGGACTACTCGAAAGAGCAGCATTGTTGGTTCTTACAGAGAGAGCTGGCCATGCTCAGTGTGAGGTCTGCGCCCAGCCAGGGTTGGAAAACAGGGGAACGGAGGTTCCTGCGGACAATGGCTGAATTGTTCCTACTGAGAAAGCAGTCTGCCCGGAGCTGGCCCCAACTGTCAGAAAGAGGCCCAGAATAGAGACGTATTGTAAATCACAGGCTACGGGCCACATTGGGAGGGAGAAAGCTGCCTGCAGATGGACTAGAACGTGTCTTCCACCTGTCCCACTGCCCCCAGCCAGATCCCCGTTCCTACCCCAGACCTTGGCGGAGCCCCCCAGGTGCTCTGAGCCCTGGGAAAGCTTTGGCTATGAGGCTGCTGCAAGGACAAGTTGGCTTCTCAGCCCGACTCTCCCCCGAGCATCAGTTCAAGTACAGCTGTGGCCTGTGGGCGTGGGAGGGCCCAAGTGCCTGGAGGAAAAAAAAAATTTTTTTTTTTTGAGACGAAGCTTTGCTCTTGTTGCCCAGTCTGGAGCACAATGGCACAATATCGGCTCACTGCAACCTCCACCTCCTGGGTTCAAGCGATTCTCCTGCCTCAGCCTCCTGAGTAGCTGAGATTGCAGGCACCTACCGCCATGCCCAGCTAATTTTTGTATATTTAGTAGAGACGGGATTTCACCATGTTGACCAGGCTGGTCTCAAACTCCTGACCTCAGGTGATCCACCTGCCTCGGCCTCCCAAAGTGCTGGGATTACAGGCATGAGCCACCACGCCCGACGGAAAATGTTTGAATTATGAGTATCTATCTGAATTACTGAGTGATAGGGCTGTCGGGTGCACACTGTTATTTCTGGGTGAGCAGGACCTCCCTTGCGGTTCTTTGGGACTTGCAGTATCTGAGTTTTTCTACTTCATTCCTTCGACTCCTCCCTCCCAAGGGAGGTTGAGTTAGGACATGGTTTCCTTGCCTGCTATTCGGAAACTATTCAATGAAAACTCCAAAAAAAAAGAAAAGAAAACTCCTTGACGTCCTCGTAATACCAGTCCAAGCAGTGTTACCAATGGTTACCCATGGTTACCAAGGTTACTGAAGTTACTGAGGCTGTGACCTTGCAGTGACCCTGTAGCATGGGTATCATTATCTCCCACAAACAGATGAGCAAACTGAGGCTCAGGGATGTTAAGTGAATTCCCTGAGGTTTTATAGCTTGTAAAGCAAGAGCAATATTTAAAGCAAGGTCCCTCTGACGTTGTAAGTCATACCCACTCACACAAGCACCCTTAGTGAGATTTATAACCAGGCTGTAATTGGGCACATTGTCCCACAGGAGGAGCCATCCCAAGCCCTGGCTTCGTGGCTCATTCACTTATTTCACACATTTTAATCAAGTACCTGGTTCGTACCAGTCTATTCTGGTTACGTGTTCTAACCCTTGAGCACCTCATCATTAACCATTATCATTGTCGTTGAAAGCACTAAGCTGAGACTGATTCTGCCCTTCCAGCTCTACAGGGCATAAAGAAATTCCTTCTGCAACTGCATAGGGTCCTCTCTCCATGCCTTTACCAATGCAAGTATCTCCTCTCCCCACCACACCCATTTCTGCCACCCCGAGAGGGCATCTCAAAGGCTGCCTTTCTCTGCTCAAATGCTTCCCATCCTGCCTCCTCTGCCCTCCCCACCCTACCGCAAGTAACCAGACGATCTCACCCATAGCTGCCATTATGATGCTTCCCACATCTGCTCCATCTTATCAACAGCTGAGCACTGCTCTTAGACAGAGAGGCTGCATCTAGACCACCTCTGTCTCCCCAAAGGTCCTTGCCCAATTCATGTGCTCTCAATCTGCCTGAAAATTCCCCCTTAGTCTCTCCCACAGGGAGTGTTGTGAAAGCCATTGGTTCTTTCAGTAGATATTTGTTAAACATGACCATGTGCCAGGCAAGCCCTGGGCCCCACTGGGCCTGCCCCTACCCTCGCACAGGTCACCCACATTTAAAAAGGCTGTGATGAGGCCAGGTGCGGCGGCTCACACCTGTAATCCCAGCACTTTGGGAGGCCGAGGCAGGCAAATCGCTTGAGGCAAGGAGTTCATGACCAGCCTGGCCAAGATGGCAACGAAACCGTCTTGGCTAAAAATACAAAACTTAGCCAGAAGGGGTTGCATGTGCCTGTAATCCCAGCTACTTAGGAGGCTGAGGCAGGAGAATCGCTTGAACCCCAGAGGCAGAGGTTGCAGGGAGCCAAGATCATACCACTGCACTATAGCTTGGGCAACAGAGTGAGACTCTGTCTCAAATAAATAAATAAATAGGCTGTGATGGAGATGGCAGGGGGCTGTGGGAGCTCCAAGCAGATCCTCTGGCTTTGTCTCTGGGGTATCTGGGCTGGATTGTTGCAAGTGACACAAACCAAGGCCTGAAGGAAGAAGGGGCACTATTGTTTCAGGCAGAGGGAACAGCACAAGTCAAAGTGGGAGCTTTCAGTGGGGCAAGAGCACTGGGGGGACCTGCCTTTCCTCCCAGCCACAAAAATGGACAGCTCGTTCACTGGCCTTGGCTTCCATGATATGGAGAAGAATTCTGGGTACTAATGGGCACATTTATGTTGTGTTTTTACAAACGGAATGAGAGCTTGAGATTCAGAATTAGGCTTGAATCTGAGTCCCGGCTCAGCTCAGCTGTTTACTGGGTCTCTGACTTTGGACAAGTCACTCCTCCTTTCTGAGACTGGTTTCCTCATCTGTGAAATGGAAACAATTGTATCCTTCCCTGACACCACTAACTGCTCTGCTGGTGATTTCCTATGTGCTGTTCATGAGAGAGCTTGCTCATTTTGTAGACGGGGAAGCCAGAGCCGGAGAGGGTGACTGTTCGACGCAGCGCCATGCAGCCAGCACGCAGCAGTGCTGAGACAATGGTGGTGGCCCAGCCATGGCCATTCTGGTGGCATTTCTGCTTGTGCTTTTCTCTCTGTTTAGAAGACAAGTTATGTTGCCCTTTTGTCCCCATCAGTGATCCCACCCCACCGACCTCTTTCTGATGCAAGTGGGGGTCTGACGGTGGTCTTTTTCCCTCCAGACCCATTCTTCGGCCAACGCTATATCCACATCCTGGGCCGGCGGAAGCTCTACCATGTGGTAAAGTACACGGGTGGCTCCGCGGAGCTGCTGTTCTTCGTGGAAGGCCTCTGCTTCCCTGACGAGGGCTTCTCAGGCCTGGTCTCCATCCATGTCAGCCTGCTGGAGTACATGGCCCAGGTGAGGGCTCCAGACCTCCACCACAGGCGGCTTCCCCTGGGGGCCAGCTTGGGGCTCCTACCAGTGGGCCATTCCTAGGAGCCCACGCTGTGCTCCAACCCCTCAAAGTGCCAAGAGGGTGGGTCCAGGATAGGAGACCTTGATGCCCCCTGCAAAGCCAGCATGTGGCTGCCAGGGTCCTCTGAGCCATGCTCCTGGGATCAGTCTCCTTGCTACTCCGGCTCCCCATGGATTCCCTATGGGCAGTGTTTTCTGACACACTCCATGCCTGTGCCCTGGCCTGCCCTGCTCCCTGCCTAGGTCTAGGGCCCAGAGTCCTGATGGTTAGTGCAAGGAGTCCCCGGGTGGGGTTTGCTGACCATCTATTGCACGCACTGCACTTCCTGCCCTTGTCTGACCCCTCCTTCAACTATGGGTTATACCAACTCTGACAGGCCGAACCCCAAACCCCAGCTTCAGGTTATGCCCTACCCTGGGGCCAGGCATCTCAGTCAGCTTTGCTCTTGCTTTGGGGAGAAGCTAGATGAGGAGAAGAGGTCCTGTACCTCTACAGAAGTCCCCTTACTGAGTGCGTGCTCTGCCCACAAGAACCTCTCACCACAAAACCTTTCACCCCCAGACCCTAGCTGCTCAGGCCCACACTGTTTCACTCAGAAAAAGAGAAGGGACCTGGCTTCTCTCCCAGACACAGGAGCCCCTCACTTTTATCCCTGGGCCGCTTTGGGACAGGATACAATGGGTGCTATACAAGGGTGAGGCTGGAGCTAGCTGAGACGTATGAGAATGAGCCCTGGCAGCAAACTGCCTTGAACTCCAGACCTCGTGATCCACCCATCTCGGCCTCCCAAAGTGCTGGGATTACAGCAGCAGACTTCCCAGGTTCAAATCCCAGTTTAACCACCCCTGGGCAAGTGAATTCAATTCCCTGTTCATTACTTAAGGGCCATTTGCCTTAGTTTCTCCATCTTTAAGACAAAGTCCAAAAGCATCTGCCGCCCGGGGTGGTTGTGAGCATCCAAACTTGTAAAGTCCTACTTACAAAGCACCCTCAAACTCAGGGGAAGTGGAAAAGGCAAAGCTAATGGGATAGGGGACGGGGATGGGGCTTCTTATTGCACCCGGGCCCAGGGTAGCCCGAACCCCAGGCTCTGTCAGACAGACCTCTCCGGTGGGCACCCACAGAGGCTCGAAAGGCAGACCAGGGCAAGAAAGGCAAGCTGTGCAACAGGCCCCCCACTCCCGCACCTCCCCACCAAGAATGGGGTCCACTTCCTGTAGCTTTTGAAAGCCAGCCCCACAAAGGAACCTTGGAATCACACCTCACTTTCCCTCAGGTTCTGGGCAAGCTGCTTGACCAGTCCTTAAAACCAAACAGTCTGGCCAGGCACGGTGGCTCACACCATCTCAGCACTTTGGGAGGCCAAGGCAGGCAGCTCGCTTGAGGTCAGGAGTTCGAGACCAGCCTGGCCAACAGGGTGAAACTAAAAATACAAATATTAGCTGGGCATGGTGGTGAATGCCTGTAATCCCAGCTACTTGGGAGGCTAAGGCAGGAGAATCACTTGAACCCAGGAGGCAGAAGTTGCAGTGAGCTGAGATGTGCCACTGCACTCCAGCCTGGACAACAGAGTGAGATTCCATCTCAAAAAAAAAAAAAGTCTAGACATAGCAAAACTAACCCAAAACAACACTAATATGCTCACACACAGATAAGGGCAAGATGCCCAGGGCAAAAACAGAGGAAGGCAGGGGGCTGGCTCAGCTGCTTTGTGGGCCGATTTCAGGAAGAGAAGTTTGATGGGACAAGACAGGACAATGGCTAAGAGTGTGAACTCAGCAGCTGACTGCCTGGGTATAAAGCCTGGCTCTACCATTTACCAATCATGTGACCCTGGGTGGGTAACAGCCCTGTGACTCAGTTTCCCCATCTGAAAAGTGAGGATCATGCAGTATCTACCTCCTGCGGTGGTCAGAAGGCAGAAATGAATTGGCACATGTAAAAGTGCTTATCACAGGCTAGGCGCACGGTGAGTACTCAGGAAATGTATTCACTGTCATCAGTTTCACCGCTTTGGAAGGCAGGTGAGGAACACACCCTGACAAGACCTTTTGATCCCCGTGCCTTGTCTTTCACACCCAGGACATTCCCCTGACGCCCATCTTCACAGACACCGTGATATTCCGGATTGCTCCATGGATCATGACACCCAACATCCTGCCTCCCGTGTCGGTGTTTGTGTGCTGGTAAGGGGTGACCCCAGCCCAGAGAGGTAGTGTGGCAGAGTGGCCAAGAGCCAGGTCAGATGGACTTGAGTCTAGTTCCCGGCCCCGTCACTTAGCACTGTGTGACCTTGAACAACTCTCTTGGCCTCTCTGAAATGCTCACATCATAGAGTCACTGTGAGGATTAAATCAGACAAAGCAGGCCAAGCATTTATCCAAGGTCCGGCACACAGGGTATACTCTAAAAATAATGGCTGCCATTCTGTTCTCTTGCCTAACCCCCTACCTTGCAGTTGGCAACTTCTTATGCAGCTCTTCTGACTCATTTGTTAAACAGACTTTTATTGAGCACCTACTATGCACTAGGTCCACAGCAGCAAGATAAGAACTGATATAAAAAGTGCCTACAGTTAGATGACTGCCAACCCCAAAAGGGACCCCTGGAGTCCTCACATCATCCCATCTTCATGCCAGGCACAGCTCTTAATTGAAAATCTATGAAGTCAGAGGTGTAAGGCATTGGGAGAGGTGGGGGTGAGAGTTCCCCTCCTCATTTTATTTGTTCATGACCTTGACAAATGCCACGAGTGGGTGGGTTTACTTGGCCTTTGATTCCAGTGGCCTTTCTAAAGGTGGCCGTGAGCACAGGTGTGGATTCCTGACTGAATCCACTGCATTCCTGACTGAAGAGCCATCTGTCGTTTATTGGGGAAGGCCTTCAATTGAGCTCTCAGCCTTAGGAAGGAAGCACGTGGAGGAGGAAGGGAGGGCTCCTCTCGCTGGCCATGCTCCGCAGGGGGCCGGGAGCCGTGCTGTCGCAGCACAAGCTTATGCTTCCCATAGCCGAGGCTTTTCATTCTGCACAGTCCCAGGTCCCAGCTCCTCTCTTACGGTTTCTGTCATAACGTGCTTTATCTAATTGACTCCAAACATCCTGAAATGTCACCTGCAGATTTCTTGTGGGAACCAATATGTACATGATTGTAATCATGTTGTGAGAATGCTATTGGCAGGGAAAAATTTTAAAAAAAAAGAGAGAAAATTATTGTTTCCTGCAGTGGGAACTGACCATGTAGTCTTAACAGTCTTTTGTACAAATATCTACAAAGCAGATAATATCCCTATCCAGTGCTTTCCCTTGGAATTGTCTCTAAATGCATCAAGCATACAATAAAAAAAATACTGAAATTAAAAAAAAAAGGCCAGCACAGTCCAGAGGTACCAGCTGCTGTCACCATCTCAGGGAGATGATTCTGGCCCCTCCTCACCCTTTCTCCTGACCTCCCCTTCTTCCCCCAACTTCTCAGCATGAAGGATAATTACCTCTTCCTGAAAGAGGTGAAGAACCTTGTGGAGAAAACCAACTGTGAGCTGAAGGTCTGCTTCCAGTACATAAACCGAGGAGATCGCTGGATCCAGGTGAGGAGCCCAGGTCCAGGCTAGGAAGGACAAAGCGTCGGGGTCAGGCAAAGAAGAGCTGGCTTCATGTAAACTGCCTGGCACCCAGCAGCTCCGTAGCTGAGGACTCTTCTCAGCTCATATCTGCACATGCGCACAAAGACATGAACATGCAAGGCGGTGCACTGCAGTGCTGCTTCTTACAGTAGCAAGAGATTGCAGAGCAGCCTAAACATCCATCCATGCAGGACTGAGTAACAGTGTTCCCGGGAGTTCTGTGCAATCACTAAAAAGGATGAAGCCAATCTCTTTTTTTTTTTTTTTTTTTTGAGACGGAGTTTCGCTGTTGTTACCCAGACTGGAGTGCAATGGCACGATCTCGGCTCACCGCAACCTCCGCCTTCTGGGTTCAAGCAACTCTCCTGCCTCAGCCTCCCAAGTAGCCGGGACTACAGGCGTGCACCACCATGCCCAGCTAATTTTTGTATTTTTGGTAGAGACGGGGTTTCACCTCTTTGACCAGGATGATCTCAATCTCTTGACCTGGTGATCCACCCGCCTCGGCCTCCCAAAGTGCTGGGATTATAGGCGCGAGCCACCGCACCCGGCTGAAGCCAATCTCTTAATATGGATACAGGATGTGCTTCAAGTTAAGTTGTTACTTGAAGGAAAACATATTCAGGATGCTGCTTGCTGTTTGTGTGTTGTTTTGTTTTGTTTTGTTTTGTTTGAGATGGGGGTCTTGCTCTGTCGCCCAGGCTGGAGTGCAGTGGCACGATCTCGGCTCACTTTCCAGGCTCAAGCAATCCTCCCACCTCAGCCTCCCAAGTAGCTAGGACTACAAATATGCACCACCACACCTGGCTATTGTTTTTTAAAATGAGGTCTAGGTCAGGCATGATGGCTCGTGCCTGTAAATCCCAGCACTTTGGGAGGCTGAGGTGGGAGGATTTCCTGAGGCCAAGAATTCAAGACAAGCTTGGGCAACATAGCAAGACCCTGTCTCTACAACAAATTTTTAGATTAGCCTGGCATGGTAGTGCATAGCTGTAGTCCCAGCTACTCAAAGACTGGGGCGGGAGGATCACTTAAGCCCAGGAGTTTGAGGCTGCAGTGGGTCATAATCACAGCACTGCACTTCAGCCTGGACAAGAGAGGGAGACTCTGTTTCAAAACAAAAAAATGGGGCTGGGCACAGTGGCTCATGCCTGTAATCCCAGCAATTTGGGAGGCTGAGGCAGGTGGATCACCTGAGGTCGGGGATTCGGGACCACCCTGACCAACATGGAGAAACCCTGTCTCTACTAAAAATACAAAATTAGCCGGGCGTGGTGGCGCATGCCTGTAATCCCAGCTACTCCAGAGACTGAGGCAGGAGAATCATTTGAACCCAGGAGGCAGAGGTTTCAGTGAGCCAAGACTGGGCTGTTACACTCCAACCTGGGCAACAAGAGCGAAACTGCGTCTCAAAAAAAAAGGGGGTTGATATCAGTAAGAAACCTGCTTATGATGTGCAAAGACTGCCTGTGGACAGTTATGCTGCCATCATCAGTGAGAGGGAAGGAGGATGGGGCAGCCAGGGATGGGAACAATATAGCCATTCTTTTCTTTTGTGCTCTTATGTTTCTCGAGTTTTCTGCTCATGCGCACAAATTGTCCCTTGGCTTGTCTAACAGCTCTCCTTGGTGTCCCTGCAGGATGAAATTGAATTTGGCTACATTGAGGCCCCCCACAAAGGCTTCCCTGTGGTGCTGGACTCCCCCCGAGATGGAAACCTAAAGGATTTCCCTGTGAAGCAGCTCCTGGTAAGATGCTGAGGGCCACTTGTGGGTGAAGGATAATTCTGGTGACTCTCACAAGACAGAGTGGTCAGGAGACCCTGGGCCACCTTCACACATTTGTCTGCTGCCCGGAGCCTCTGTTTCTCCTCTGCAAAATGGATCATTTGGGATGGCCGCCTCTGAGGTCCTTTCCTGCTCTGATAACTGATGTTTAACAGACATGGAGAGTTTTCTAGTGGGAAACGGACACTAAGGGAAATAGGGTAAGACCTAGTTCCAGAGGCTCTGGCCCCTACTGCTGCCCTTCCCTCTAAATTGTAGCAAAGTGAGTTAAGTAAGTTTCAAAGAGGGAAAAACATAGTTATGCAATTGTCAAAAATCATGGTTCCAACTTCCAAGTTCATCATGACCTTGAGGCTATGGTTTTCGGTGTGTGTGTGTGTGTGTGTGTGTGTGTGTGTGTTGTTTGTTTTTTTCTGAGATGGAATCTTCCTCCGTTGCCCAGGCTGCAGTGCAGTGGCGTGATCCTGGCTCACTGCAACCTCCATCTCCCAAGTTCAAGCGATTCTGCTGCCTCAGCCTCCCAAGTATCTGGGATTACAGGCACCCTCCACCACCCCCAGCTAATTATTATATTTTTAGTAGAGACAGGGTTTCACCATGTTGGACGGGCTGGTCTCCAGCTTCTGACCTCAGGCAATCCACTCGTCTCAGCCTCCCAGAGTGCTGGGATTACAGGCATGAGCCACTGCGCCCAGCCATGTTTGTTTGTTTTTAAGCCATCTGACTCCTCTAATTCTGGAAGCCATTCTCACTCCCCTTTCAGGCCCTCAACAACCTAGTGTGTGAGAACAGAAACGAAATCAATCTTCCTTTTGTCTCCACTCTTCTGTCCTGAACAGGCTGGAGGAGGTTTGAACAGGGCATGAAACAAGAGAATGGAGTAGGTCAGGGGACTTTTCCCAAGGTCACACGCAGGACAGTGTCCCTGTTAGACACCAGGGCTGCCCAGAGCAGACCCTGTGCCAGGTTCACACAGACCCTGTGCCAGGTTCTGCCCCACATTCCTTGCCCAATGCCCGGTTCACAAGGAGATACCACAGCCAATGGTGTCAGTGCAGAGCTTTGGAATGTCAGGTGGGCCAGGTCTTGAGTCCTGATTGCACCTCTTAGCAGCCATGCGACCTTGGGCAAGCAATTACCTTCCACGAACCTCAGTTTCCTCACCTGTAAAATGGGGATAGCAATGGTATCAGTCTCACAGAATGTTGTGACGATTGAAGGCGTTATATAAGGCATCAGTGCCATGGCTGATATAATTACCATTATTAGCTGTTGTTATGGCTGTCATTCCCTGGCCCTGTCTTCAGTGAGCTTTCCCTAACACTATGGTGAGTAGAGTCAAACCCACCACTAGCAGCAGTTGCCGCAGGCATGAGAAGCAAGGCCTTTCCAGGTCAGCACCTGCCTTCAGTATTCCAGGCTGGCCTGGTTCCAAGGCCCCAGGCCGCATGGTTCCTTGAGGCCAAGGCCAGGCCTGGCTTTGTACTGCATGCCCGTACGATGCTGCAGAGCCCCAGCACCCCAGCCGCAACAAGCAACCACGTTGCCAGCTGGGGCCCCAAGGTAAGAAAGTGCTAAGCTACTGCCATCCACCCCATGGGCCCAGCTGTCCCTTGAGCCCTTCAGCTGAGCCAGAATAAGCCACATCCTCCCACTCCACTGGATTTTGTCAGGCAAGCTTCAATCCAACCCCTGAGCTAGCTCCCAAACAAGTCCCCTACATTTGTTCCCCAAAAGCCATGAAAGGAATCTTAAAATTCAGGGGCCGGTGGGGATATATCTTGTGTGCTAATTCCAGTTTTTTTGGAGCTCTGAGTGAAGAAGGGTCCTGAGGCTTCCTCTGGGCTCAGTGGCAAGCCTGGCAGGTTGACAGTAGATTGAGAGGGCATGTATTGGTCAGCTTCACCAGGTAAGGCCACAGTAACAAACCAAGCCAAAATCTCCATGACGGACAACAGCAAAGGCCTCTTTCTTGCTGGCCTTCCATGTTGATTGCTGCATGGTGGTCTGCCGCTCTGCTTCCTTATGCCTTCCTCACTCTAGCACTCAAGCTGCCGGAGCAGCCCCAGTCTGGGAAATGCCATTCTACTAGCACAGGGAGAAGTCCAAGAATTGGCAGACGCATGCAGGGGCTCCTATGGCTTCTGCTGTTAACTGGCATGCATCCCTTCTGCTCACATTTCATTGGCCAAAGCAAGTCACGTGACCAAGTCTCACACTGGGCAGGGAAATATATTCGTTTTGAAGGAAGATGCCAGAAGTCACATGTCGATGGGTCAGGATGCAAAATTCTGTTACTGTGCAGAGGGGTAGCAAATCTCTGGGAATAATAATACAAGCTGCCACCCTTCCTCAGGTTACCTAATCTGGTACTTCTTTTATAGATGGGGAAATGTGCCAGAGTGCAGTGGCTCATGCTTGTAATCCCAGCACTTTGGGAGGCTGAGGCAGGCAGATCACTTGAGGTCAGGAGTTCAAGACCAGCCTGGGCAGCACAGTGAAACCCCATCTCTGCTAAAAATACAAAAATGAGCCAGGTGTGGTGGTGTGTGCCTATAATCCCAGCCACTCAGGAGGCTGAGGCAGGAGATCACTCAAACTCTGGAGGCAGAGGTTGCAGTGAGCTGAGATCGCACCACTGCACTCCAGCCTGGGTGACAGAGCAAGACTCCATCTCAAAAAAAAAAAAAATGAAAAAACAGATGGGGAAACTGAAAGTACATAACGTACACTGTGGACTAATCCTGAAATCAGCAATCTGTATCTGTGCTGGGGAAACAGAGGCACATGCAGATGTCACACACTCACACTCACACTTGCGTTCACTCTTACACACTCACATTCTCACTCACACTGTCACACTTACACCAAGATGCTAACACACACATCCTCCCCAGGCCCAGGCCCAGGCCCCTGCTCTTTGGTAATCATAGGAAGACCGTGGGCAAACCCCTGGGGTGCCCACAGACCCAAACTGAAGGTAGTGAAAGAGGGTAGCTGGCTTGGGGACTGAGGGACCTGGCTGCAGAAGATTAATGCAGGTGTGTGCCCTCTGCTTAGGGCCCAGATTTTGGCTACGTGACCCGGGAGCCCCTCTTTGAGACTGTCACCAGCCTTGACTCATTTGGAAACCTGGAGGTCAGTCCCCCAGTGACCGTGAACGGCAAGACATACCCCCTCGGCCGCATCCTCATCGGGAGCAGCTTTCCTCTGTAAGAGAAGCCAGGCGGGGGCTGGGGGCTGTGGGAGTGGGGAGGTCCCTGTTTCTCTTTCGGGGTGGCCTGGGTTACTCACACATGGAGCAAGTGGCTGGGAGAATTATTCCCTCCCATGACTTCCTGTTAAGAGACCAACACTCTTGGAAAGAAAATCAAGTTAGCCTTTACATCTTCATGTGAATTAGGATCTAATACATAAATAAATAGACAGCTGTCTTCCCCAAATGGAAAGGTGTATAATGAGACTATAAATCAGCTGGTTGGCTGGAGGCGGTGGCTCTTGCCTATAATCCCAACACTTTGGGAGGCAGAGGTGGGTGGATTACAAGGTCAGGAGTTCGAGACCAGACTGGCCAACATGGTGAAACCCCGTCTCTACTAAAAATACAAAAATTAACCAGGTTATGGTGGCACGGGCCTGTAACCTCCGCTACTCAGGATGTTGAGGCAGGGGAATCACTTAAACCTGGGAGGTGAAGCCAAGATCACGCCACTGCACTCCAGCCTGGCCAACACAGAAAGACTCCATCCTGGGGGAAAAAAAGATTGAAGTGAGTAGAAGTTAATGTAGCAAAGAGGCACGTAGATGAGGGCAAATGTTGGAGCCCTCCTGTGCCCTAGCACCCCCAGCAGGCCAGGCGGAACTCCCGAGCAGAGAAGGTGGCCTCCCCATAGTCACTGACACCCTCAAGGGCTGAAGCCCAGGCTCCCTGCCCTTCACACAGGCCACGGCTGCAACTAACACCTACCTCTTTCCCCTTGGACTCAAACACCTTCCTGCCTGTGTCAGAGTCTTAGACCAGCCCAGTCTCCTTCCTGGGACTTCTCTGCTGATGCCACTCTGGGTCCGGGGTGGATTCCAGAAACCACACTCCTCTCGCAGTCCCTCTCGTGAGGTGAGTAACCTTCTGAAACTCCTCTTCCTCCCTGCTCCAGGTCTGGTGGTCGGAGGATGACCAAGGTAGTGCGTGACTTCCTGAAGGCCCAGCAGGTGCAGGCACCCGTGGAACTCTACTCGGACTGGCTGACCGTGGGCCATGTGGATGAGTTCATGACCTTTGTCCCCATCCCCGGCACAAAGGTGAGCTAGCCCCCAGAGGCTGAAGTGAATAGGGTAGGGGCAAACCCAAATCTCACCAGCCCCAGCAGAGGGTGAGAGCTAGAGAAACAGGACAGCATAGAGGAAGGAGGAAGGAGGCTGAAGCTGGTTTGCATGTTGTTGCTGTGGCAGGTAAAATTTTAACTCGCTAAATCCAAAATAGTAGCATTTCAACATGTAATCAACCTACAAATTATTAACAAGAGATTTAAATTCTTTTCTCATACTAAATCTTCAAAATATGGCAAGGATTTTACTCGTATTGTACATCTCAATTCAGACTAGTCACATCTCAAGTGTTCAATAGTCACACAAGGCTAGTGGCCGCTGTGTTGGCGGTAACGCTCTAGAGAGAAACGGTATGTTCCCGTGGCACTGGAGAGAGGTTCTTTCATTTTCTTATGGGCACAACTTCATACTGTGGAAATTCTCTGCACATTACCTGGCTGCTTGGCAACTAGGAGAAGTTCTGTCCAAGGCTGCCTTTGGCTCTGAGCCTTGCCTTGGTGACATTGCTGAGGTAGAGGAAAGGTGAGAAATATTCCTCTGAAACAGAGAATACTGCTCTGTGCAGCCTTTGCCACTCGGCGTGGGAGGCACGATGCAACGTGCAAGCAAGGCACTGGGTCCTCGGCACAAAGCCTCCCCGTGCTCCTTGGGGGCCTTCCTGCTGCTGACCCTGTCCCCCGGACTGTCTCTTGCAGAAATTCCTGCTGCTCATGGCCAGCACTGCGGCCTGCTACAAGCTCTTCCGAGAGAAGCAGAAGGATGGCCATGGAGAGGCCATCATGTTCAAAGGTGAGTGGCCACAGGGCCTTGGCAGGAAGTGGCAAGCTGGAGGCCCCAGTGAGACCCTCAGGAGGATGGGGCGGATGAGCACTTCGTCCCTGAGCACCCAACTCCACTTCCCTGGGCGTCTGTCCTGATCCGGGGTTTGTGAGGTTGCTATGGTGGGCAGCATCTCTGGTCTCCTGTGACCCTTGCTGTGGTCAGGTAAACCGTGAGCTGCCCACAGCTCCTTAGTGTCACCAGCAGTGCACAGCAGAGCTTCAGGACCTAGTGTGTACTTTAAGTGGCACCAGACCCAGAGGAGGCTTAAATGCTTGAAAACCAACACATGGCTGGGTCTGGTGGCTTATACCTACAATCCCAACACCTTGGGAGGCTGAAGCAGGAGGATCGCTTGAGGCCAGGAGTTCAAGACCAATGTGGGCAACATAGTGAGAGCCCCATCCCTATAATTAAAAAAAAATTTTTTTTGAGAGTTTCACTCTTGTTGCCCAGGCTGGAGTGCAATGGCACAATCTCTGCTCACTACAACCTCTGCCTCCCGGGTTCAAGTGATTCTCTTGCCTCAGCCTCCCAAGAAGCTAGGATTACAGTCATGTACCACCATGCCCAGCTAATTTTTTGTATTTAGTAGAGACAGGGTTTCACCATGTTGGTCAGGCTGGTCTCAAACTCCAGACCTCAGATGATCTACTCACCTTGGCCTCCCAAAGTGCTGGGATTATAGCTGTGAACCACTGTGCCCAGCCTCTCTATAATAAAAATTTTGAAAAAGAAAAGAAAAGGAAACTGATGTACAATCTGCATTCAAGAAGCTTGTATTTTAGAAAGAGGGACAGAGAGAAAAATAGAGACAATACAATTTAGGGACAGGAAGAAAAGTGGACTTTGGTGAGCAAAGGGCATGGGTCAGACACTGTTGCTGCCAGACCAGGAGTGGCCTGTCTTCTACATTTAGACATTCATATAATTGGGACAGACGTAGACGGGGTGAGGTTTGCATTTGAATTAATCATGGAAAGAGGGAAAGATGATCAGGTGGAGACAGGCAGCCAGGTTAGAGACACCGTGCCGATTCCTCGTACTCTTTTTTTTCTTTTTCAACTTCTATTTTAGGTTTAGGGGGTACCTGTGCAGGTTTGTTACCTGGGTGTATTGTGTGATTTGGCTTATGAATGATCCCATCACCCAAGTCCAGAGCATTGTAGCCAGTGGTTAGTCATGCAACTCTTTCCCGCCTCTGTCCCTCCTGACTCTAGCAGCCCCCAATGTCTGCTGCTGCCATCCCTGTGTCCAATACCTTTTTCATTGTGATAAAATATACCTACTCTAACACATTTGTCATTTTAACCATTGGTAAGGACACAGTTCCGGGACATTAAATGCATCTACAATGATGACTAACCATCAACACTCTCTCTATCCTTTATACATTTTTTTCTTAAGTTACTTTTGTCACTTTCAGGTTGATATCCATAATGTATCTCATGCCTGAAAGCCTGAGTTCCTGCAGCTGGGTGATACTTCCATGACTGCCCCCCAGATCCAAAGATAGTGTTCCTGTCACTGGTATCTAGGACAGACAGGATGAATTTAACACCACCACACTTTTTAAATTCCCCACCTATGGGAAGTTTGTTCCTGGATTGGCAAGCTCGAGTCTTAACTTTCTGGAGGCTTCCTTTCTAATAGTAAACATACTCTCAAAAACTACCCATAGGATATAGGGACCATGATTTTTATACAAATGGGGCAAGCAGTGGTGTGGAGACAGCTCAGACACAGGGTATGAGAGCCCCCAGACCACTCTTTGTGTTTTAGAAAGAGAGATAAAAAGAGAAATAGATAGAATACAGTTTGGGGACAGGAAGAAAAGTAGACTTGGATGAGCAAAAGGCATGATCAGGCATCGTCGTTCTCAGTCCAGGAGTGAGATATTATCTCTTGGATTTGGACATTCACATAACTGAAACAGACAGAGAGAGGGTGTGCAGATGCACAGTCAGCAGGACTAGAAGCACACAGGAGACCTGGGGAGGAAGGCGAACCAGGAGATGCCAAAGAGCCATGCTCTCTACTGGACCAGAGCCCACAACGTGTGGGGAAAACACATCCCTTTAAAAGATGTTAAAAACTACAGACTTGCCCTCCAGAAAAAATGCTTATAGGAACATGTCCCCTGAACTTGGATCAGTTTTAGAAAATTACAGCTCCCTAAAGTTTTCTGTCTCTACATGGACCCTCCCTTCTGGGTCCCTAAGCCTCAAAGATTACATCCAACTTAGAGCTGGGCATCTTTGCTGCTGTCCAGCTATAAATCTGGGAAGTACAAACCCCTTAAGGCCAGGGGTTTGCCTCCCAGATGAGGCAAAAAAAATAGGTTAAGAGCAAAGGCTCTGGAATCAGACTCCCTGATCTGCACCCCAACTCTGCCACTTGCTAGATGTGAGACCTGGAACAAGTCACATAACTTCTCCGTGCCTCAGTTTCCTCATTTCTCAGGGTAGTAACTATCCCATGGAAATGTGGGGGAGGATCCATGAGTTCATTCGATATAAAGCATTTAGAAGAATGTCGGCCACATAGTAGGTGCTCATTGACGTTAGGCATTACTAATCAAGCTGGAAGCCACATAAGCCGTCATGTGGTATGGGAGGCAGACACAGGCCACTCCAGGGCAGCAGCCAAGCTGAGGCAGCTCTGGAAAACAGAAGGGTGACCCCTCCGGCCATGCCGCTTCCACCACACTCATGCTGGTCAGCTGTTCATCCTTAGACACAGGCTCTAGGTGGGAGAACGAGGGGGCTACTTGTGCCACCCCCAATCCCACTGGCCAGAGTGAGAGCAAGGCAGCTACCACCACTGCCTTGGCTCAGATGTCATGGTCAATCCTGGAGAAAAGAGTGTGCTGTGCCCTCCTCAAGCAAAGAGGGAGGGCTGATTTCCCCTGTGGGTGCCCTCCTGTGATCCAGCCTGTCCCCAGCCCCATTTCCCCCATCCCAGCCCAGCAGTTAGCCCAGGGACTGGGGATTCTTGGCAAAAGGGGAGCACCCAGCGTGGGTATCTAAAGCTTGACCATTCCCTGTCCTTTGACCCCCACAGGCTTGGGTGGGATGAGCAGCAAGCGAATCACCATCAACAAGATCCTGTCCAACGAGAGCCTTGTGCAGGAGAACCTGTACTTCCAGGTGACGGCGGGCAGGGGCCCAACTGGTGCTGGAGTGCAGACCCAGAGGGCTCCTGGGAGGGATGAGGCTCATGCCCTCACATCCTTGGGGCTTCCATAGACAATAGCCAAGGGCTCAGGGACTCCTGACCCAGAGCACAGCAGCACAGGGACGAGCGTCCACCGCCATTCAGCCAGCCTCCTTGCTTTGCTCCTGGACTAAAGTCCCAGGGTTGAAGGAGTGACAAAGGCAATGTGCAGCGACAAGAGGCACACAGGAGACCTGGGAAGGAAAGCAAACCAGGCAGTGCCAAAGAGCCACACTCTCCGCTGGACCAGAGCCCACAACGTGTGGGGAAAACACACCTCTTTAAAAGATGATCAAAGCTATAGACTTGCCCTCAGAAAAAATGCTTATATGAACATATTCCCTGATCCTTGATCAGTTTCAGAAGATCACAGATCCCCAAAGTTTTCTGTCTCTGCATGGACCCTCCCTTCTGAGTCCCTAAGCCTCAAAGATAACATCCAGAAGTGGAAACCAGTCATATTTTGTGAATTAAGTCTCTATGTATTTGCATGGGCATATTTAAGAGGACTAAGAAAAAAAAACTTTAAAAGCAGAAAACAGCCGGATGCAGTGGCTCATGCCTCTAATCCCAGCACTTTGGGAGGCCGAGGCAGGCAGATCCCCTGAGGTCAGGAGTTCGAGACCAGCCTGACCAATGTGGTGAAACCCCGTCTTAAAAAAATATTTTTTTTTAAAAGAAAAGCAGAAAACAACTCAAACTGGTTTAAGCAAAAAGGCATAATTTGCTCAAATAAGTAGAAAGTTCAGCAGTGATATGGATTTCAGGCACAGCTTGATTAGGGCTCCAGCTCCATTTCTCTGCACTGAGGGTAGAAATGTGGCTGCAACAGTTCAAGGCCTCACATGCACCCAGCACACCATCTACAAAGAGATAGGGGCTGTTTCATTCTTGTTTTGGGTCTTTTCCTTGTTATTTTTGTTTGTTTTTTGTTTTCTTCTTTTTTTCTTTTTTAAAGACAGGGTTTCACCATGTTGGTCAGGCTGGTCTTGAACTCCTGACCTCAGGTGATCAGCCCACCTTGGCCTCCAAAGTGCTGGGATTACAGGCTTGAGCCACCACGCCCGGCCCTGTTTTTTGTTTTCCTACAGTCTCCTCTGTTGCCCAGGCTGGAGTACAGTGGAGCTATCTCAGCTCACTGCAACCTCCATCTCCCGGAGGAGAATTCAAGCAATTCTCCTGCCTCAGCCTCCTAAGTAGCTGACTACAGGCGCATGCCACCTTGCCCAGCTAATTTTTTGTATTTTTACTAGAGACGGGTTTTCACCATGTTGGTCAGGCTGGTCTCAAACTCCTGACCTTGTGATCCACCTGCCTCAGCCTCCCAAAGTGCTGGGATGACAGGCATAAGCCACCACGCTGAGCCAAGAGAGAGGTCTTGTATGCCCCACCAATTGACCAAGAGCTTGCATTTCACTGATTAGGCCAACCTGAACCAATGACTGTGACCACAGGAATTCCATACGTTGTTTGGCTTAATCCTGGGTCTGCCTGTCTCTGAGCCAGTCACTGGAGCAAGGAGGTAGAGACAAGAATCCAAAACTTAGCTTTCACCTGGAGGTGGAGGTGGGGCCAGTGCAACCCAGCAACATAGTGTGGCATGACAAGAGGAAGTGGGTGGAGTGAGTGCTGGGGAAGCAACACAAATTCACAGCACTTACTGTCTATTTAGAATTTGACTTGATTGATTTTGAGATGGTGTCTCACTCTGTCACCTAGGCTGGAGCGCAGTGGCACGATCTTGGCTCACTGCAACCCCCATCTCCCAGGTTCAAGCAATTCCCCTGCCTCAGCCTCCTGAGTAGCTGGGATTAGAGTCATGAGCCACCACACCCAGCTAATTTTTATATTTTTAGTAAAGACGGGATTTCACCATGTTGGCCAGGCTGGTCTTGAACTCCTGACCTTGTGATCTGCCCACCTCGGCCTCCCAAAGTGCTGGGGTTGCTCGTGTGAGCTGCCGCGCCCAGCTGGATGTTAACTTTATTACAACTGTCCCCCTCCCCCTGCCCCATGGTCATTTCTTGGCATCAGGTAGATTTGAAGCCAAATCGTGCCACCCCCTCACTTGGGGCATTAGGACCATGGGTAACTCACTAAGGCTGTCTTTGGTTCTCTCATCTCTAAAAAGGGAATAATGGGGGTTAGACACAGTGTCTCATGCCTGTAATCTCAGTACTTTGGGAAACCAAAGTGGGAGGATTGCTTAAGGTCAGGGGTTTGAGACTAGCCTGGGCAACATATTAAGACCTGTCTCTATGAAAAAAATAAATAAATAAAAATTTTTTCCTTTTGATTTGGGTGGATAAAAGGAAAAAAGAAAAATTTTAAAGGGGATAATAATAGCATCTATATCACAGGGCTGGAGCTTAAATAAGTAATCTACGTAATGCACGTGGAACAGTACCAGGCATGTACACGTTAGCTTTTGTTATTGCCAAAGTCATCAGTGTTATCCTCGCCCGAGGGGTCACTGAGGTGCTGTGTGGGAAGCACTTAGCACAGGGAACCACTCTAGAGAGTGATCGGTACTCTGACGTCTGTGACCTTCCTCTGCCCTGTTATTACAACTGCTGTTCCTGAACCCCGATGGACAGGGCTGGGGAGAGGCTCCAGAGGCACCCACTGAGTGTTAGAGGTCTCTCTGGAGTGCCAGGGCCCCTGGACTGGTGCTGCAGACTGGTGGAATTGACAAGGTATCAGGTGTGTGTCCCTCACCTGCATGCCCTCCCTCCATTCTCCTACCTAGCGCTGCCTGGACTGGAACCGTGACATCCTCAAGAAGGAGCTGGGACTGACAGAACAGGACATCATTGACCTGCCCGCTCTGTTCAAAATGGACGAGGACCACCGTGCCAGAGCCTTCTTCCCAAACATGGTGAGGCCCTGCAGACCCCAACCCTCGCCTCATGCCAGTACAGGGCAGCCAGATCTAGAAGGACCCCTTGGCTGAGGCTATCCAATGGGGATGCCCAGGTCTCAAACCGGCTGAGCTGCTGTGTGACCTCACCTCAGGCACTTGCCCTCTCTGAGCTTCCATTTCCTTCTAAGGGTGATATGCTTGTCCTAGCTGCTTCACTGGGATATTGGGAACCCTTTTCCTTAACAGATAGGAAAGTGCTGTGCAAAAGATTAAAAGTCCTTTATGTACAGGAGGGATTCCTGTTACATAGAGGTGAGTCTTCTATAACACAGAAAGAGGTTACAACAATACACATGTGTACATGGACACAGATATACACATACCTGTGCAAAGAAACACATGTGCATTCATGGACACATGTGCACACATGCACACAGAAATAGATGCATGCATGGACACATACACACATGAACACAGAAACGTGTGCACTCAGAGACATATACACACATGCACACAGAAACATGTGCATGCATGGACACATATATACACACACGGAGATACACATACACACACAAATGCAAACATATACGTGTGTGCACATTTACACATATGTACGTGTACACACGTACATGCACACGGCTGTGTATACATACATGTATAGACATATGCAAATGTTCTTGCACACACATACATACAGAGGCAGATTGCCTGGTTTTCTGCCTCAGCTCTGCCATTTGTGAGTGACTTAGACCTGCTCCATGCCTATCCAATCACAGTTCCTACTTCACAGGGTTGCTGTGAGGGTTTAGGACAGGCATATGTGTAAGTGCTCACTAAATGGAAGCTGTTGCCACCACAATCCACCTTCACAGGTGAACATGATCGTGCTGGACAAGGACCTAGGCATCCCCAAGCCGTTCGGGCCGCAGGTTGAGGAGGAGTGCTGCCTGGAGGTGCACGTGCGCGGCCTCCTGGAGCCCCTGGGCCTCGAGTGCACCTTCATTGACGACATTTCTGCCTACCACAAGTTCCTGGGGGAAGTCCACTGCGGCACCAACGTCCGCAGGAAGCCCTTCACCTTCAAGTGGTGGCACATGGTGCCCTGACCTGCTGGGATCCCTGGTGTTTGCCTCCTTCCCTGAGTTCTCCAGACCCCTCACGCACCCAGAGCCTTCTGCTGCCATAGACTGGACAGCCCCGCTGGGAGACCTTTGGGATGTGGAGTGGGATTTGGGGTATCTGTGCCTTGCCCTTCCTGAGAAGGGCCTCAGTGTCATCTGAAGCCATCCCCAGTGAGCCTCGACTCTGTCCCTGCTGAAAATAGCTGGGCCAGTGTCTCTAGAGCCCCGACATAGGAACAAAACAAAACACAGCAAACCATATGCCCAAACCGTTCCCCAAAGAAGTTTTAGTCTCCAGTCCAACACCACTGAATGAGGGGAGAAGGGAAGGAGATTCTGGGATTGCCAGTTCTTCCAGCAGCCATACTCTGAAAATCAAGGTAGAACCCAGGGAAAGGGACCCCAGCATCCCAGACGTATCTTGAACTGCAGTCGTCATTTGAAATCCACCTCCCTCAGGGCTTCCAGGTGGCCACCCCCAATTATTCATTCCTTACCAACCTCTCAAATCCTCTTGGCTTCCTCTCTGCAGTGTGGACACTTTTGGCTAGCCCTCCCCACTCCCTGAGGGTCCAGTAAGTTAGTTTAGAACCTTCCTGGAAACATTTCACCTGAGCAGGCTTCCCCACACGTGGGATGCTCCTTTTGCCTTGTCTGTCTCATGGATGCAGGCTCCCCTAGATGTATGGGGTTGCTTCCCGGACCAGCATACTTGTGGCATGAGAGTTCAACATGTAAAGATGCCCCTGGTCAGCCACATCCATCTTCTCTTGCCCGGCCCTTGAATCTCTGGCCAGTCCCTGACGTTCTTCCTCTCACTGCCTCGGCTTTCTTCCTTTTTATTCCTGATGCCATCTGTCCAGGCAGCTATGCAAGAACTTGTTCACCAGCAACCAGATTCACGCCTTCCCCAGGGTATCATAAGTGACATCAGATCCAATATGTAAGGACGCTGGTCTACCCTCCAGCCCAACAGCCATTTCTGGGTCAGCTGCCAGATTAGGGATGGTTTGATTATCTTATTGAAATTCACCAGTGCATTTGCCAAAGACCCTCTCATTTGGACATACCCAGATTCATTCCCTGGCTTCAACTGAAAGACTCGGTTTCAATCTTTAAAAGTACCTTTAGGGCCAGAAGAATCAATGAATTATAATCCCGTGTGAAGAACCAATTTACAACCAATGAACAGGTTATAATGTAATTTACATTCTTGGAGGAACAAGATTTTCATTAGGGATTATTTCATTCAACCACTCAACAAACATTTGTTGTGTGCCCCTAAACAACAGGCATGGTGTTGGGCTCTGCAAACACAGTGGTTAGTAGCAATCTGGACCTGATCCCTATTGGCATGGAACCCATCAGTCCCTGACATGCAAAGCCCGCATTTAAAGGCCAGCCTCTGCCCCTTCAGTGATGCTCTCTTTAGAAATGCCAGTCCAGGATGGGCGTGGCAGCTCACGCCTGTAATCCAGCACTTTGGGAGGCTGAGGCGGGCAGATCACGAGGTCAGGGGTTCAAGACCAGCCTGGCCAACATGGTGAAACACTGTCTCTGCTAAAAATACAAAAATTAGCAGGGTGTGGTGGTGGGCGCCTGTAATCCCAGCTACTTGGGAGGCTGAGGCAGGAGAATCACTTTAACCTAGGAGGTGGAGGTTGCAGTGAACTGATATCGCACCACTGCACTCCAGCCTGCAACAGAATGAGACTCCATCTCAAAAAGAAAAAAAACAGAAAGAAATGCCAGTTCACTATATTCAGAAATCCACAGGGCACAAAACTTCCAGCAAGTCACTGTCTTGGTGAAATGGGAGGTGGGGGAGTCTTCTTTAAACAGGCCCCCTTCCCATCTAGCTGGGCAGTACCACCCATCCAATGAGTCCCCAGAGCCTCTAGAAGCTGTTGTCCCCTCTCTGGGGACAGACAGCATCTCCTCCCTTTGGAGGCCAAAGCCCCAGATCTCTCCAATCCCAGAGCTGAAAACATCAAGTGCCTTTTTGAGGGTGTCTATCTGGAGACCTAGAGTTTGTCATGTGTGTGTGTTTGGTTAATGTGGGTTTATGGGCTTTCTTTCATTTTTTTTTTTTTCTAGTCTATATTAGAGGGAAGTGAGCACCTCCCATGTGCAGACAGTGTGTCTTTATAGATTTTTCTAAGGCTTTCCCCAATGATGTCGGTAATTTCTGATGTTTCTGAAGCTCCCAGGACTCACACACCCATTCCCATCTCCCTTGCCCACCCAGTGTGACAGCCTTCCGTGTGGATGTACCCCCGTGGACTCATGGCTCTTCCCCACCCCACTTTCTATAAATGTAAGCCTAGAATATGCTTCTCTTGCAAAACTCAGCCAAGTTCCTGTTTCCATCTTGATGTTGAAATATCTTATATAAGAGGGCAGGGGATGTTGTGAAGATGGCAAGAAGAACAGTTTCAAATTTCTGAAGAAGAGGCTGTGGTGGAGATCTAAAGATGTTTAGGGAAGAGCTCGACTAAAGAACAATAAAATAAATGGTCCAAGGGGAAGTCACGTGGCTGTTGGTGTGATGTTCTTTACTTCTTCATAGACAAGGCCTAGAGTGAGGCAAGCCACACACTGGGCCCTCCTGGTCCTGCAGCCCCTGCTGTTCTTGGCACAGGGTCTGGGCTTTCAGCATAGGTATCTCGAGAGTTTGGAATCCCCCACACATTCAGTGGCTGCATATTACATGGCCACCACCCAAGGTCAAGACCGGTACCCTCAATAAAGCCTATGTTGTTCTGATGGGGTTCCCCAGAAGCAGACCCTGAGATGGGCACTTGGGAACAAGTGATTTATTAAGAAAGGGCCAGGTGAAGTAGCTCATGCCTGTAACCTCGACACTTTGGGAGACCAAGGTGGGAGCATCACTTGAGCCCAGGCGTTCCATATCAGCTTAGGCAACATAGTGAGATCCCATCTCTATAAAAAAATTTTTAAAAATTAGCTGGGTGTGGTGGAACATGCCTGTAGTCCCAGCTACTCAGGTGGCCGAGACAAGAGGGTCAATTGAGCCTAGGACATAGAGGCTGCAGTGAGCCATGATCGTGCCACTGCACTACACTCTCACCCACATGACAGAGCAAGACCCTGTCTCAAAAGAAGAAAAAAAAAGAGCCTCCAAGAGAAACCAAGATGGGAACTTGGGGAGCAGGCCAGGGAAGGGGAAGAAACCATACAAAGGTGTGAGGTGAAGCCTAGACCAATACCTAGAGAACTCTGGAGCATAAATGGCACCTCTGAGCTGTTCTGTCTGGAGGCTGAGTCTTTGTCCACCCACACCAGTCATTGGCTCTGGAGACTGTGGCCCTCTGAATGGGCAAGAGGCACCAGGAGCTCACAGGCAACCATCCAAAGATCACAATTGGGATTAGGAACAAAGTCACAAGCTGGGGAATGGGCTGCCACAACCAGAAGAGGGCACCAGCCATGTCCACTGCTCTGGGTGACGTCATGTCCTTTTAATAAAAAGTTATTACACACAAATATTTGTGATTTGACCCATGATATGAAAATCCATACAACATAACCATGATCTAACAGGGTCTTTGTGAACAAACTCCTGAAGCCCTAAAATGGAGCCGCCCGATTGGTTGCTAAGTCTAGAAGCTGCTTCCAAGTTCTTTGGAAGACACTGGGGTCCCTTCTCACTCCTTAGTCCCATCTTGGGCTTCTGGACCAATGACTTGGTGTCACTATTTTAAGGGGCCACAGCAAAATAAAAATTACTGGTTGATTTACTCTCAGGCTTAACCCAAGAGCCCAGCCCTTTGATATCCCCTTTTATACCCAACTAATGTGGCCCAAGCCACTGCAAGACCAATCTTTCTTAGGTTTCCTGACCCACCTAGTTCTGCAACTACCCAAGGGATGCTGGTATGTTCAACAAGTTCATCCTGGTGGTGTTTTCACATCTTTGCCAATCACCCACCTCAGTGTCGCTGAGTGTCACCTTGAGACTTTTGAACAGCACTTTTCAGTAGAAATATAATGCAAGCTACATACTGTAATTTTGAATTCCCTAGTAGCCACATTTAAAAAGTAAAATGCAGGTGAAATTACTTTTAATAATGTTTTCTTTAGCCCAATCTATCCAAATCATTATTATTTCAACATGTAACCCAAATTCTAAAATTTTAATGAGATACTTTACATTCTCATTTTTTGTAGTAAGCCTTTGAAATCTAATGTGTATTTTATACTTATATCACATGTCTATTCAGACTAGCCATATTTTAAGTGCTCAATCCACAGGTGGCTATCATATTGGAAGATATTGTTCTAGAATCTTCTCTGCGAGGCTGAGCACCAATTGTGGAAATAGGTGCATTCCTTAAACCCCCAGAGTCTAGCTAGTTTGGCTGTAATGGTTAATAAAAGTGTATTGTTATAATACTGAAAAGAGAAATGTAAAATACACACAAGCCATCACTGGCCCTGGTATGCAGACCCTTGCCATTCCAAAAGGTCCTCTTGCCTGAACCATGGCTGCTGCCAAGTTACCAGGACCCCCCCCCCTCTGCAAGGTGAGTGCCTTTGGCCAGGTCCCCTCTGCCCACTGTCAAGATAGGAACCCCCTGCCAGGTCCCCTCTTTCCCCTGTGGGTACAACTTGAATACAATTTGATTCTACATTTAATCTAAAATGTGTACTTGGAGTCCCAGGTGAGAGTAGCTCGTTATCTCAGAGTCCTCCAGCATTCCAGATGGGATCTGAGCCATACCTTGGCATAGCCGAAACCCCATGGAAGTGGTTGGGTGGGAGGTCTCTCCCCCTGAAACAAAAAGCAGCCCGGAATGAATCTGCCTCTCCGGTGAGATTCATGCAGGATCCTCTCCCAAGCGGTGTCAGGTCCAAGAGGCTGATGGAAAAGTTATTAGTAACTAAATATAGTGAGTGACTCCAAATGGCAGCATGTGGGATCCATTCTCCACCTGGGCATCCAGAAAAAGGATGCACTGAGACAGAAAGCCCAGCTCTGCAGCCTTGTTTCAAGCCTGGCTGATGCGAGAGATCTTCACCCCAGCCCCATGGCAAGCTGGGCTCTTTTCCAGCCCCGATCTTTGAAAAAGCAAAGGTCTTCTCTGGGTAGTTTCTAAGCAAACTGCTGGGTTCAGGCCATGCCAGCTCGGCCTCAACCCCTCACCTTCCACAAGCAAAAGTCTGCTTTCTGGCAGCCCTGGTTATACCCGACAGTCTCTGACCAGCATGCTAAGGCTCCATGCACAGGCTGCTGTGCTACTGAAGAGCTGAGGAGATATATTCAATCTTTAAAATTAACGTTTCATTTTCCAGCCGGGTGTGGTGGCTCACACCTGTAATCCCAGCACTTTGGGAGGCCAAGGCAGGCAGATCACCTAAGGTCAGGAATTCGAGACCAGCCTGGCCAACATGGTGAAACCTCATTCCTACTAAAATACAAAAATTAGCCACGTGTGGTAGCTCATGCTTGTAATCCCAGCTACTTGGGAAGCTGAGGCAGGAGAATTGCTTGAACCCAGAAGGCAGAGGTTGCAGTGAGCTGAGATCATGCCACTGCACTCCAGCCTGGGGGAAAAGAAAAGAGGAATTTTCTGGAAAGAAGAGAGGAATATTTTGTTTTTCTACTGATGGCAATTTCTGGCAGAGAGTTGGTGCTCAGCGAATGTGTTTTGAATAAAACAAACATCTTTTCAGCTAGGCAATGGAAGCACAAAAGTCAGCCAAACATTTCCCAAACACTGATTGCATGCCTGCCAGGTGGAACTATATGAAATGCCATTTGGAAGATCAAAATGGTCAAATAGAGGTGATTCCTGATGGTTTAACCTCATATTTTCCATTCATCATCTCATCTAATTCTCAAAACTAAGCTGTGTGGTTGTTATCTTCACCTTACAGATGAGGAACCTAAAGCTCAGAGAGAGGAATTTGCTCAAGATCACACAGCAGGTAATGGCAGAGCTGGGATTCATATCTGGGAGGTCTGGCTCCGGAGCCCACTCACTGAGCTCCTGCTCTTGACTACATATCAGAAACAGCTTTCTAGCTGGGCACCATAGCTCACATCTGTAATCTCAGCACTTTGGGAGGCCAAGGCGGACGGGTCACTTGAGGTCAGAAGTTTGAGACCAGCCTGGCCAAGATGATGAAACCCCATCTCTACTGAAATAAAAAAATTAGCCAGGCATGGTGGCTCAAGTCTGTAATCCCAGCTACTAGAGAGGCTAAAGCAGGAGAATCACTTGAACCTGGGAGGCAGAGGTTGCAGTGAGCCAAGATCATGCCACTGCACTGCAGCCTGGGTGACAGAGCAAGACTCCATCTCAAAAAAAAGGAAAAGAAAAAAGAAACAGCTTTCTAACCCAAGTTTAGTGTTCTTTCATTCACAAATGTTACCTTATCTTTGCACCAATCCATTTTTAGCATGTCAGGTGTCATATTAGAAGAATGCTATCAACAAGAAATCCCCTCTACCTGCAAGCAAGATGTCTAGAGATTATAGGATTCCTACAAACCCCTCTAAGGCAATAAAGCCCATAATGAAATGACCTCTATGTAAGTCAGTATGTGCTCTCTCTAGTCCTCAGCTAGGAGTAAGATGGCATCTCTAAATTGTGAAAAGCAAATTATATTCATTCATCCATCCGTTCACTTTTTTCCATTAACATTTGCTAAGCATCTACTGTGTGTAAAACCAGTGATCCTACTATTTTTCATCTAAACCAGGGCATTTCTGAGAGCTCAGAGGGGCCCTACAAATAATTCCACCAAGACAACAGGAGAATCTATAACCATCCTGGGCAAACCAGGGCATTTATTCTCCCTGGAAAGCCTGAGCATGAGACATGATCTCATCCCTCAAGGAGCTGACAGCGAGTCAGAGAGACAGACAGGAAAGCAGAGAGGCAGAGTGATGGAATAGGCACCTGATAAATACTTGCTGATGGAGGAATGAATAAGGTACAAAAATCTGTGGGGACACACACACACACACACATGTTTCCTGCTGGAAGAATGACCAAGGATGGCCTGGTGTTCATTAAAATGAGTGACTGCTGAATTAATGTAGGAATGAATGATTGGGCAAAGAAGGGGAGGAGGGGCTGCCAAGCTGAGTAGAGACACAAAGAGGTGCGGGTGTGTGATATGTCTGGGAAATTGTGACTATATTGAGTGGCTAAAATTCAGATTGCAATCATGCTGGAAGCTCTAGGGTTGGTGCACTGGAAACCCCCTGAATGTTTAAGAGCACTGTGGTCACATGATCAATCCAGTATTGTAGGAAGCTGACAGTAACATACTTCTTTACTGATATTAAACTCATAAAGAAAACATTTTTAAGAAACTGGCTGAGGAATGAGCAAACCACACTACAACTCTGCTTTTAAATATTCTGCAGCACATATGATGAAATGGATCTATGCATCCTAACACGGAAAACCTCCAAGACACAGCACTTGACTAAAAAATGGCAGCTTGCAGAACATGTATATTATCATTTGTCTTTTCTTTAAAAAATAAACAAAAGG